GAGAGCTGGAGCTTTGATGGAGTCAGGACTCAGAGAGATACGAGGAGAGCTGGAGCTCTGATGGAGTCAGGACTCAGAGACACGAGGAGAGCTGGAGCTTTGATGGAGTCAGGACTCAGAGAGACACGAGGAGAGCTGGAGCTCTGATGGAGTCAGGACTTCAGAGAGACACGAGGAGAGCTGGAGCTCTGATGGAGTCAGGACTCAGAGAGACACGAGGAGAGCTGGAGCTCTGATGGAGTCAGGACTCAGAGAGCACGAGGAGAGCTGGAGCTCTGATGGAGTCAGGACTCAGAGAGACACGAGGAGAGCTGGAGCTCTGATGGAGTCAGGACTCAGAGAGACACGAGGAGAGCTGGAGCTCTGATGGAGTCAGGACTCAGAGACACGAGGAGAGCTGGAGCTTTGATGGAGTCAGGACTCAGAGAGACACGAGGAGAGCTGGAGCTCTGATGGAGTCAGGACTCAGAGAGACACGAGGAGAGCTGGAGCTCTGATGGAGTCAGGACTCAGAGAGACACGAGGAGAGCTGGAGCTCTGATGGAGTCAGGACTCAGAGAGACACGAGGAGAGCTGGAGCTCTGATGGAGTCAGGACTCAGAGAGACATGAGGAGAGCTGGAGCTTTGATGGAGTCAGGACTCAGAGAGACACGAGGAGAGCTGGGAGCTCTGATGGAGTCAGGACTCAGAGAGACATGAGGAGAGCTGGAGCTTTGATGGAGTCAGGACTCAGAGAGACACGAGGAGAGCTGGAGCTCTGATGGAGTCAGGACTCAGAGAGACACGAGGAGAGCTGGAGCTTTGATGGAGTCAGGACTCAGAGACACGAGGAGAGCTGGAGCTTTGATGGAGTCAGGACTCAGAGAGACACGAGGAGAGCTGGAGCTCTGATGGAGTCAGGACTCAGAGAGACACGAGGAGAGCTGGAGCTTTGATGGAGTCAGGACTCAGAGACACGAGGAGAGCTGGAGCTTTGATGGAGTCAGGACTCAGAGAGACATGAGGAGAGCTGGAGCTTTGATGGAGTCAGGACTCAGAGAGACACGAGGAGAGCTGGAGCTCTGATGGAGTCAGGACTCAGAGACACGAGGAGAGCTGGAGCTTTGATGGAGTCAGGACTCAGAGACACGAGGAGAGCTGGAGCTCTGATGGAGTCAGGACTCAGAGACACGAGGAGAGCTGGAGCTTTGATGGAGTCAGGACTCAGAGAGACACGAGGAGAGCTGGAGCTTTGATGGAGTCAGGACTCAGAGAGACACGAGGAGAGCTGGAGCTCTGATGGAGTCAGGACTCAGAGAGACACGAGGAGAGCTGGAGCTTTGATGGAGTCAGGACTCAGAGAGACACGAGGAGAGCTGGAGCTCTGATGGAGTCAGGACTCAGAGAGACACGAGCAGAGCTGGAGCTCTGATGGAGTCAGGACTCAAGAGACACGAGGAGAGCTGGAGCTCTGATGGAGTCAGGACTCAGAGAGACACGAGGAGAGCTGGAGCTCTGATGGAGTCAGGACTCAGAGAGACACGAGGAGAGCTGGAGCTCTGATGGAGTCAGGACTCAGAGAGACGAGGAGAGCTGGAGCTCTGATGGAGTCAGGACTCAGAGACACGAGGAGAGCTGGAGCTTTGATGGAGTCAGGACTCAGAGACACGAGGAGAGCTGGAGCTTTGATGGAGTCAGGACTCAGAGAGACACGAGGAGAGCTGGAGCTCTGATGAAGTCAGGACTCAGAGACACGAGGAGAGCTGGAGCTCTGATGGAGTCAGGACTCAAAGAGACACGAGGAGAGCTGGAGCTCTGATGGAGTCAGGACTCAGAGAGACACGAGGAGAGCTGGAGCTCTGATGGAGTCAGGACTCAGAGAGACGAGGAGAGCTGGAGCTCTGATGGAGTCAGGACTCAGAGACACGAGGAGAGCTGGAGCTTTGATGGAGTCAGGACTCAGAGACACGAGGAGAGCTGGAGCTCTGATGGAGTCAGGACTCAGAGACACGAGGAGAGCTGGAGCTCTGATGGAGTCAGGACTCAGAGAGACACGAGGAGAGCTGGAGCTCTGATGGAGTCAGGACTCAGAGAGACACGAGGAGAGCTGGAGCTTTGATGGAGTCAGGACTCAGAGAGACACGAGGAGAGCTGGAGCTCTGATGGAGTCAGGACTCAGAGAGACACGAGGAGAGCTGGAGCTTTGATGGAGTCAGGACTCAGAGAGACATGAGGAGAGCTGGAGCTTTGATGGAGTCAGGACTCAGAGACACAAGGAGAGCTGGAGCTCTGATGGAGTCAGGACTCAGAGAGACACGAGGAGAGCTGGAGCTTTGATGGAGTCAGGACTCAGAGAGACATGAGGAGAGCTGGAGCTTTGATGGAGTCAGGACTCAGAGAGACACGAGGAGAGCTGGAGCTCTGATGGAGTCAGGACTCAGAGAGACACGAGGAGAGCTGGAGCTTTGATGGAGTCAGGACTCAGAGAGACACGAGGAGAGCTGGAGCTTTGATGGAGTCAGAGACACGAGGAGAGCTGGAGCTTTGATGGAGTCAGGACTCAGAGAGACACGAGGAGAGCTGGAGCTTTGATGGAGTCAGATCAGAGACACGAGGAGAGCTGGAGCTTTGATGGAGTCAGGACTCAGAGAGACACGAGGAGAGCTGGAGCTTTGATGGAGTCAGGACTCAGAGAGACACGAGGAGAGCTGGAGCTCTGATGGAGTCAGGACTCAGAGACACGAGGAGAGCTGGAACTCTGATGGAGTCAGGACTCAGAGACACGAGGAGAGCTGGAGCTTTGATGGAGTCAGGACTCAGAGAGACACGAGGAGAGCTGGAGCTTTGATGGAGTCAGGACTCAGAGACAGGAGGAGAGCTGGAGCTCTGATGGAGTCAGGACTCAGAGAGACACGAGGAGAGCAGGAGCTCTGATGGAGTCAGGACTCAGAGAGACATGAGGAGAGCTGGAGCTCTGATGGAGTCAGGACTCAGAGAGACATGAGGAGAGCTGGAGCTCTGATGGAGTCAGGACTCAGAGACACGAGGAGAGCTGGAGCTTTGATGGAGTCAGGACTCAGAGAGACATGAGGAGAGCTGGAGCTCTGATGGAGTCAGGACTCAGAGAGACACGAGGAGAGCTGGAGCTCTGATGGAGTCAGGACTCAAGAGACACGAGGAGAGCTGGAGCTCTGATGGAGTCAGGACTCAGAGAGACACGAGGAGAGCTGGAGCTTCTGATGGAGTCAGGACTCAGAGAGACACGAGGAGAGCTGGAGCTTTGATGGAGTCAGGACTCAGAGAGACACGAGGAGAGCTGGAGCTCTGATGGAGTCAGGACTCAGAGACACGAGGAGAGCTGGAGCTTTGATGGAGTCAGGACTCAGAGAGACACGAGGAGAGCTGGAGCTTTGATGGAGTCAGGACTCAGAGAGACACGAGGAGAGCTGGAGCTCTGATGGAGTCAGGACTCAGAGAGACACGAGGAGAGCTGGAGCTCTGATGGAGTCAGGACTCAGAGACACGAGGAGAGCTGGAGCTTTGATGGAGTCAGGACTCAGAGAGACACGAGGAGAGCTGGAGCTCTGATGGAGTCAGGACTCAGAGAGACACGAGGAGAGCTGGAGCTCTGATGGAGTCAGGACTCAGAGAGACACGAGGAGAGCTGGAGCTCTGATGGAGTCAGGACTCAGAGAGACACGAGAGAGCTGGAGCTCTGATGGAGTCAGGACTCAGAGAGACACGAGGAGAGCTGGAGCTCTGATGGAGTCAGGACTCAGAGAGACATGAGGAGAGCTGGAGCTCTGATGGAGTCAGGACTCAGAGAGACATGAGGAGAGCTGGAGCTCTGATGGAGTCAGGACTCAGAGACACGAGGAGAGCTGGAGCTTTGATGGAGTCAGGACTCAGAGAGACATGAGGAGAGCTGGAGCTCTGATGGAGTCAGGACTCAGAGAGACACGAGGAGAGCTGGAGCTTTGATGGAGTCAGGACTCAGAGAGACATGAGGAGAGCTGGAGCTCTGATGGAGTCAGGACTCAGAGAGACACGAGGAGAGCTGGAGCTCTGATGGAGTCAGGACTCAGAGAGACACGAGGAGAGCTGGAGATCTGATGGAGTCAGGACTCAGAGAGACACGAGGAGAGCAGGAGCTCTGATGGAGTCAGGACTCAGAGACAGGAGGAGAGCTGGAGCTTTGATGGAGTCAGGACTCAGAGAGACACGAGGAGAGCTGGAGCTCTGATGGAGTCAGGACTCAGAGACACGAGGAGAGCTGGAGCTTTGATGGAGTCAGGACTCAGAGAGACATGAGGAGAGCTGGAGCTTTGATGGAGTCAGAGACACGAGGAGAGCTGGAGCTCTGATGGAGTCAGAGACACGAGGAGAGCTGGAGCTCTGATGGAGTCAGGACTCAGAGAGACACGAGGAGAGCTGGAGCTTTGATGGCAAACACTGACGGTTCATTTGGAGCTTCGGCCGGAGAATTCACGAGACATGTCACGGGCCACGGTCTGACCACACGGTTGAGATGCCACAATCAATTCTGAAATCCCTCCTGTAGCTCCAGGTTTTAGTTCAGAGTGTAATCACCAACATTCTTCAATAGAGACTAAACAGCTGAGGAAACTGAATCACAGTCGTTGTCTCTTATGTCTCGGGGTCCTCTGCACCCCGAGAAGGATGTGTTCCAGGTGTCCCACAACAACAACTATCTCTGACCGAGAGCTGCCCGCTCACAAACTGGTAACAACAGCAACTTGCTAGGGCAGCTCCTCCTTCAGGGGGATAGCGGCTGCTCGAGGCTGGGTCTGCGTCAGAGGGCGAAGGAGGAGGAGGACATGCAGGGCGAATGATTCCCCAACAGAAACCATTGCTCTTTGTTTTTGTTTGATTGACGTAACATGAGAAAATAAACCCTACAAATAAAACCTCCCCCATGGACAATGGACTTTTATATTTCGTCTTTTTCTGTTTGAGATCCCAGCTGCTTAAACTTGGTTTCTTCCTCCTCTTCTTCTAGTCTCCTGATTCCGTTGTGGATCAACTCGTTGAAGATCCTCCACCAGGTGGCTGCTCAGCACCATCAGCAGGAAGGACTGATGGTGTTCTGCCAGAGGCTGCAGTACACTCTGCAGGTCAGTCATCAACCTTTAAAGGTCACCTAGTATGCAAACTCCTCTTCTTCATGTCTCTTCTACATCAACATGTGTCCCCTCTTCTTCATGTCTCTTCTTCATCAACATGTGTCCCCTCTTCTTCATGTCTCTTCCACATCAACATGTGTCCCCTCTTCTTCATGTCTCTTCTACATCAACATGTGTCCCCTCTTCTTCATGTCTCTTCTACATCAACGTGTGTCCCCTCTTCTTCATGTCTCTTCTTCATCAACATGTGTCCCCTCTTCTTCATGTCTCTTCTACATCAACATGTGTCCCCTCTTCTTCATGCCTCTTCTACATCAACATGTGGTCCCCTTCTTCTTCGTGTCTCTTCTACATCAACATGTGTCCCCTCTTCTTCATGTCTCTTCTACATCAACATGTGTCCCCTCTTCTTCATGTCTCTTCTACATCAACATGTGTCCCCTCTTCTTCATGTCTCTTCTACATCAACACGTGTCCCCCTCTCCTTCATGTCTCTTCTACATCAACATGTGTCCCCTCTTCTTCATGTCTCTTCTACATCAACATGTGTCCCTCTTCTTCACGTCTCTTCTACATCAACATGTGTCCCCTCTTCTTCACGTCTCTTCTACATCAACATGTGTCCCCTCTTCCTTCACGTCTCTTCTACATCAACATGTGTCCCCTCTTCTTCATGTCTCTTCTTCATCAACATGTGTCCCCTCTTCTTCACGTCTCTTCTACATCAACATGTGTCCCCTCTTCTTCACGTCTCTTCCACATCAACATGTGTCCCCTCTTCTTCATGTCTCTTCTACATCAACATGTGTCCCCTCTTCTTCATGTCTCTTCTACATCAACATGTGTCCCCTCTTCTTCATGTCTCTTCTACATCAACATGTGTCCCCTCTTCTTCATGTCTCTTCTACATCAACATGTGTCCCCTCTTCTTCATGTCTCTTCTACATCAACATGTGTCCCCTCTGTGGAAAGAGACTCTGAAAGTTTCAGGAACAAAGATTCTCTCTCTTTTTGATCCATTTCTATAAAAACCTGTCTGAAAATGAGCTGATCAGATTTTGGCCACTTGACGATGTCATAACGATGTTTTGGCTTGTGTAACCATTAGCCAATCAGCACCAAGGTAACCCCCCCCCCCCCCCTTATCAACTTGGAACATTGTGGTGTCTGTTGTACCAGAGAAGAAGAAGAAGGCATTTAGTAGTAAATTAAAGTCTCTATGAAAGCAATGGACGTAGTCAGCATGACTTTTGTTTGTTTGTTTTGAAGCCACAAGTTGGGCAATTAGCAAATTAGTTTTTGTTGAAGAAGTGACATTCGAGTCTTGTACCAAAAGAGTTAGACAAAAAAAAGTTGGAAAATATATTGACTTAATAATGAAATCATGTAAGAAGTTCGCACATTGACTTCTATACAATCTGACTTATTGCAACTAGCGGTGTCGCCCTCTGCTGGATGTTAAGAGAATGCAGATTTAAGGCATTTCTGCATTAGCTCTATTTTCCAGAGCCCGAAGTTGGCGAAATTAACTTTTAGTACAAGGACAACTTTTTAAAATAATGCCCATTTACTTTTTTCTGCTATAGCTAGGGTGCTTTAACCTTAGCTTAGCATAAAAGCCTATAAGCACCGTACAAAGGTCAAGTAAATCAACCAAAAAGCATCTCCTAAACTCACTAATAACAACTTCAATCTTTTTGGGGAACATTTACTGAAACATGTTCGGGTTTTATTGGGGTTGGCCTAGCCTTACGGTACATTTTATTTTGTGTTGTGAATATTTCAGTGCCTGGAGCAGTGCTTCCTCGCTGAGGGGAATGGGCTCCCTCTGGATATATTACACTCTGATGAGTACAAGGTGAGTAAGCTAAGACACAAAGCTAAGACCACATTTCCTCAGATCAAAATGAAAAAGAAACATAGTCTTTAATATAATCTCATGTTCTTCTCCGATGTCTCCAAGGCTCTCAAAGCTCACCTGTCTCACAACTCTCTGAGCAGCTGGAAGCTTGTGGAGAAGTTTCTGGAAGGGAAAGTATGGGAGCAGGTGAGAGATGCAAAAAGCTTCTTTAACCCCGACATGGTAGCGGTTCAGATCTTTAACCAGTTTTTTCTTATATGACAGAAAGTGTACAACGGAGAGAAATATGGTGCGGTCACCCTCCTGGCGTCCTACAGGAGGTCAGACCAGAGACTCAGGATCGAGGTGTTGAACGCCATGAACCTCCTACCAATGGACTCTAATGGTAAGACAAACACATTATAGAGTGGAGCAGGAATTACGTATTCTTTAAGTGAACCCTGAAGGCAGCATCTCCAAGGTTCCCTCCACAAAAATCCAATTGGATTTTGGATAATTGCAGGAAATAACCTCCACGTTTATGATTTGTTCAGCAGGATAATCTCCACATAATAACACCACTTTATGGTTTTTGAAGTAAAGAGCTAATGTTGGGCTATAAAGGAAAGTGCGGTCACATGACTTCACGTCACCACCGCTAAGCTAAAGGTGGCTAATGTTGGGCTATAAAGGAACGACAGCACGGTCACATGACATCACGTCACCACCGCTAAGCTAAAGGCAGCTAATGTTGGGCTATAAAGGAACGACAGCACGGTCACATGACTTCACGTCACCACCGCTAAGCTAAAGGTGGCTAATGTTGGGCTATAAAGGAACTACAGCACGGTCACATGACTTCACGTCACCACCGCTAAGCTAAAGGAGGCTAATGTTGGGCTATAAAGGAACTACAGCACGGTCACATGACTTCACGTCACCACCGCTAAGCTAAAGGTGGCTAATGTTGGGCTATAAAGGAACTACAGCACGGTCACATGACATCACGTCACCACCGCTAAGCTAAAGGCAGCTAATGTTGGGCTATAAAGGAACGACAGCACGGTCACATGACTTCACGTCACCACCGCTAAACTAAAGGTGGCTAATGTTGGGCTATAAAGGAACGACAGCACGGTCACATGACTTCACGTCACCACCGCTAAGCTAAAGGTGGCTAATGTTGGGCTATAAAGGAACGACAGCACGGTCACATGACTTCACGTCACCACCGCTAAGCTAAAGGTGGCTAATGTTGGGCTATAAAGGAACTACAGCACGGTCACATGACTTCACGTCACCACCGCTAAGCTAAAGGTGGCTAATGTTGGGCTATAAAGGAACTACAGCACGGTCACATGACTTCACGTCACCACCGCTAAGCTAAAGGAGGCTAATGTTGGGCTATAAAGGAACTACAGCACGGTCACATGACTTCACGTCACCACCGCTAAGCTAAAGGTGGCTAATGTTGGGCTATAAAGGAACTACAGCACGGTCACATGACTTCACGTCACCACTGCTAAGCTAAAGGAGGCTAATGTTGGGCTATAAAGGAACTGCAAGGAATCTGGGTGTGACCCTAGATAACAACCTGTCCTTCACTGCAAACATCGCTGCTACAACCCGCTGCTGCAGATACACGCTTTACAACATCAGGAAGATACGTCCCCAGCTGACTCAGAAAGCGACTCAGGTTCTGGTCCAGGCTCTCGTCATCTCACGCCTAGACTACTGCAACTCCCTCCTGGCTGGTCTACCTGCATGTGCCATCCGACCTCTGCAGCTCATCCAGAATGCAGCGGCTCGTCTGGTCTTCAACCTTCCTAAATTCTCCCACACCACTCCGCTCCTCCGCTCCCTTCACTGGCTTCCGGTAACTGCTAGAATCCACTTCAAGACACTGGTACTTGCTTACCGTGCTGCGAATGGATCTGGCCCTTCCTACATCCAGGACATGGTTAACCGTACACCCCAGCGCGTGCACTACGCTCTGCATCAGCCAAACGACTCGTTGCGCCCTCGCTGCGAGGGGGACCCAAGTTCCCATCGGCGAAAACACGTGGGTTTGCTATCCTGGCTCCAAGATGGTGGAATGAGCTCCCCATTGACATCAGGATGGCAGATAGCTTGCACATCTTCCGGCGCAAACTGAAAAGTCATCTCTTTCGACTCCACTTCGAGCGTTAGAACGATTAACGAAGCACTTTTATACCAATAAAGGACTGGATTACCTAAAGCCAGTTGAGTAGCACTTGAAATGTTTGGCTCTATGAAACCTGATATACTTATATGATTCTGTTTTCTTCAAGGTTGTGTCTTCCTGGTCGAATGTACTTATTGTAAGTCGCTTTGGACAAAAGCGTCAGCTAAATGCAATGTAATGTAATGTAATGTAATGTAATGTAACTACAGCACAGTCACATGACTTCACGTCACCACCGCTAAGCTAAAGGAGGCTAATGTTGGGCTATAAAGGAACTACAGCACGGTCACATGACTTCACGTCACCACCGCTAAGCTAAGGTGGCTAATATTGGGCTATAAAGGAACTACAGCACGGTCACATGACTTCACGTCACCACCGCTAAGCTAAAGGAGGCTAATGTTGGGCTATAAAGGAACTACAGCACGGTCACATGACTTCACGTCACCACCGCTAAGCTAAAGGAGGCTAATATTGGGCTATAAAGGAACTACAGCACGGTCACATGACTTCACGTCACCACCGCTAAGCTAAAGGAGGCTAATGTTGGGCTATAGAGGAACTACAGCACGGTCACATGACTTCACGTCACCACCGCTAAGCTAAAGGTGGCTAATATTGGGCTATAAAGGAACTACAGCACGGTCACATGACTTCACGTCACCACCGCTAAGCTAAAGGAGGCTAATGTTGGGCTATAAAGGAACTACAGCACGGTCACATGACTTCACGTCACCACCGCTAAGCTAAAGGTGGCTAATGTTGGGCTATAAAGGAACTACAGCACGGTCACATGACTTCACGTCACCACCGCTAAGCTAAAGGTGGCTAATGTTGGGCTATAAAGGAACTACAGCACGGTCACATGACTTCACGTCACCACCGCTAAGCTAAAGGAGGCTAATGTTGGGCTATAAAGGAACTACAGCACGGTCACATGACTTCACGTCACCACCGCTAAGCTAAAGGTGGCTAATATTGGGCTATAAAGGAACTACAGCACGGTCACATGACTTCACGTCACCACCGCTAAGATAAAGGCGGCTAATGTTAATAATGACTTATTTCTGTTTTTTTTTTAACTTTTTCCTGCACAACTTTATTGCATCCGTAGAGATGCATTACTGGAAATTCACATTCCTATGAGATCTTTCCTGATATCCTGATGCTTCTGTGTTTTTTCCAGGTCTGAGCGACCCCTTTGTGCAGCTGTGTTTGGAGCCAAACCACATTTTCCCTGAAGTGGAGCCTCGCTGCACGCAGATCAAAAACTGTGATCTCAACCCCCTTTTCGACGAGGCCTTTGAATTGTAAGTTATACGTCTATAATATTCTATGTCACATCTCAGTGTTAACATGTACAGTCACCAGTAGAGTACAAATACTTCATTACTGTACTTAAGTACATTGTTCTGGTATCAGTACTTTACTCCACTACTTATTTTTCTGACTACTTTTTACTTTCTACTTCTTACATGTTGAACCCAAATACCTGTACTTTCTACTTCTTACATGTTGAACTCAAATACCTGTACTTTCTACTTCTTACATGTTGAACACAAATACCTGTACTTTCTACTTCTCTCATGTTGAACTCAAATACCTGTACTTTCTACTTCTTACATGTTGAACTCAAATACCTGTACTTTCTACTTCTTACATGTTGAACACAAATACCTGTACTTTCTACTTCTCTCATGTTGAACACAAATACCTGTACTTTCTACTTCTCTCATGTTGAACTCAAATACCTGTACTTTCTACTTCTCACATGTTGAACACAAATACCTGTACTTTCTACTTCTTACATGTTGAACACAAATACCTGTACTTTCTACTTCTCTCATGTTGAACTCAAATACCTGTACTTTCTACTTCTCACATGTTGAACACAAATACCTGTACTTTCTACTTCTCACATATTGAACTCAAATACCTGTACTTTCTACTTCTTACATGTTGAACCCAAATACCTGTACTTTCTACTTCTTACATGTTGAACACAAATACCTGTACTTTCTACTTCTTACATGTTGAACTCAAATACCTGTACTTTCTACTTCTCTCATGTTGAACACAAATACCTGTACTTTCTACTTCTCTCATGTTGAACTCAAATACCTGTACTTTCTACTTCTTACATGTTGAACTCAAATACCTGTACTTTCTACTTCTTACATGTTGAACTCAAATACCTGTACTTTCTACTTCTCTCATGTTGAACTCAAATACCTGTACTTTCTACTTCTTACATGTTGAACACAAATACCTGTACTTTCTACTTCTCTCATGTTGAACACAAATACCTGTACTTTCTACTTCTCACATGTTGAACTCAAATACCTGTACTTTCTACTTCTCTCATGTTGAACTCAAATACCTGTACTTTCTACTTCTCACATGTTGAACTCAAATACCTGTACTTTCTACTTCTTACATGTTGAACTCAAATACCTGTACTTTCTACTTCTTACATGTTGAACTCAAATACCTGTACTTTCTACTTCTTACATGTTGAACACAAATACCTGTACTTTCTACTTCTTACATGTTGAACTCAAATACCTGTACTTTCTACTTCTTACATGTTGAACACAAATACCTGTACTTTCTACTTCTCACATGTTGAACCCAAATACCTGTACTTTCTACTTCTTACATGTTGAACTCAAATACCTGTACTTTCTACTTCTTACATGTTGAACACAAATACCTGTACTTTCTACTTCTTACATGTTGAACTCAAATACCTGTACTTTCTACTTCTTACATGTTGAACTCAAATACCTGTACTTTCTACTTCTCACATGTTGAACCCAAATACCTGTACTTTCTACTTCTTACATGTTGAACACAAATACCTGTACTTTCTACTTCTTACATGTTGAACACAAATACCTGTACTTTCTACTTCTTACATGTTGAACACAAATACCTGTACTTTCTACTTCTTACATGTTGAACTCAAATACTTGTACTTTCTACTTCTCTCATTTTCCAAACAGCTGGTTCCTTTAGTCTGAATGTGTGTTTGATGCGTGATCATTATTCTTTAGAGTCATTGCGTGCCTATTGATTTGAACACGATCCGTGTATCCATCATTTCCTGGTCTTCTCTAAAGAAGAGGGACCAATGGAAACGTTGTCATGTTGCCGTTGTTCAGCATGGAAACATTCATTAGCTAACAATGACATTATTGTTCTATTAATATAAAGGGAGGTCAGGTACTCTTTAAAACAGCTGCTAGTTATGGGTACTTTTTACTGAAGTACATTTCAAAGCCTCTTTACTTTTACTTGAGTAAAGAAGTTTAGTCAGTACTTCTACTTTCACCAGAGTATTTTTAAACACGAGTATCTGTACTTCTACTTGATTCAAGGATGTGTGTACTTTTGCCATCTCTGATTAGACTATCTTTGTACCACAGTCTGATTTCTCTGGAGCAGTGCCAGGCTTCAGGAGCGTGTCTGGTCGTCACGGTTTTCGATCACGACACTTTGAGGACGGACGACTTCGAAGGCGAGGCGTTTTTGGGACTGAAGGCCATCCCGGGAGTCGCAGGACAAATGGAGGGAAATGAACTCAGCTTACATCCGGACGCCGTTCCTGCTCAGATCAGACTATCTCTGATGCATCCTAAACCCAACGGTAAGGTCTGACACCTGAGTCGGGTCATTTGTCCACTCGTTTGGACATCAATCGCCTATTGACGTAGAATGAATTCTATATATCAAGTAGTATTTGGGATCGGATTGGCAAACAATTTAGAATCTGTATTTACCGCCATTCAAATGAGAGCGAGTGTTTTACCAAAAAAAGGGGCGTAGCCTTGCATAGAGGGAAAGTACCCAGATGTGTTGCTTTCATCTATCTCACTAACGACCTTTTTGACGTTATTTGGATTCACTTAAAATGTTAATATGTTCTTCCTTGGCCAATGCTTCACACGTCCACCAAGTTTCATGGACATCTGGCTAGTAGTTTTTCTGTAAACCTGCTAACGAACAGAGAGGGTAGGATTTATTAATAGTTTAAAGGTCCCCTATTATCCTGTGTTTCATCAATATCTCACAGGTCTCAGATATATCCAGAGCAGGGTTTCCGCCAGGATTTTTTCTTGCCGGTCAAATGTCCGAAAATAATTTATTTTACCGGACAAATTCGAAACTTACCGGTAATGTTTCAATAATAATTGTGTAGCAGAGTTAGCAGGTAATTACCGGACTATGACCGGATATGCTGATGTTTAAAACTCAGTTAATGGGGCTAATTTTTTATTTTGCTTCAGTTTATAAATCGTAACAGATCGAAAAGTTCAGATTCATTTTTCAACAAATGATGCGCTTCCACAAACAACAAACAACATAGTTATTACATTCAAACAAACTACTTATAGTAGATAAAGTACATTATTCAAAAGTTTACATTAACTTTGAATAATAACACGAGAGAAACGGATCCTCTCTTTTCCCCTCTCCCTCCCTCTCTCTCTCCTGACAGCCCGTCTGTATCTCATGCAGCTCGCTAAACAGTGTCTGCGTGTCTCAGTCAGACTCAGCAGCTGATCTGATCTCTCTCTCTCTCCGGTTATACTTCACTCGCGTTTATGTCCATATCGATCAGATCCAGCTCTCTTGATCGGCCTTTATAGAGAGCACCGATCAAACTATTAAGAGTGAATATCGGCCGATAATGATCGGCGGCCGATCTATCGGAGCATCCCTAATTATTACCGGAAATTTTGACCGGCAGGTTTTGAATTTACCGGTTTTGAATACATTTTACCAGCTAAAAACCGGTAATTACCGGCTAACGGAAACCCTGATCCAGAGCCTGTCTCTGATTGGCTGAAACACCAAACAGGTCACTGCAGGATTACCCATAATCCCCTCTGTTTCAGCCCTGTTTTAAAAGTGCTGATTCTCTGTCTGTTACTTTAGATGAAAATAAGGAGCCCCTCCCCACGCCCCTCTGAGAGACATTTGGTTACAAAGAACTCAATAGGCGCTTTCACACCGGAATAAGTTCCCTGAGGGAGGATAAGGCAAAGAAGCCGCTGAAGTCACTTCTTCTTCTGCTTTGGGCTTACTGGCAGGCCGCAAACCACTTCACGGCGTATACTGCCACCCGGAGTCCCCTGCCGGAAGTCCCCGGAGTTAGGGACTGGCTTCAGTAGAAGCTGCTGGGACTCCCAGCAGCTTCTACTGAAGCCTTCCGAGTAAATCGCCAGAACGCCGACACCTCCTCATCTCCACCGCTCCCATGTTTTCTTTTGTGTTGCCATAAGTTAGTCTCTCTGCGTTTCTGCGCTGGGCTAATGCTAATGCTAATAATGCTAATGCAAGGATAATAAAATGGCGGCTTCACAAAACTTTTTGGGAGTTTTACGGGGCGTGGTTTGCAATCCGCCCAGCCAATCAGACACAAGAACCTTTTTCTCCCACGAAAGTCCCTGCTCTCTAGCAGGGACGGAAAAGGGGGTGAAAAGGTTCTCATGAACTAATTTTAGTTCCGGCTCTTTTTGGTGTGAACGAGACATTTCGGAACTAAAGTGGGTAAAGTACTGCGGTGTGAACGTGGCTAAGAAGTTTAGTCTGTTCATGAAACATGAAGAAGAGGGGACACATGTTGATGTAGAAGAGACATGAAGAAGAGGGGACACATGTTGATGTAGAAGAGACATGAAGAAGAGGGGACACATGTTGATGTAGAAGAGACATGAAGAAGAGGGGACACATGTTGATGTAGAAGAGACATGAAGAAGAGAGGACACATGTTGATGAAGAAGAGACATGAAGAAGAGGGGACACATGTTGATGTAGAAGAGACGTGAAGAAGAGGGGACACATGTTGATGAAGAAGAGACATGAAGAAGAGGGGACACATGTTGATGTGGAAGAGACATGAAGAAGAGGGGACACATGTTGATGAAGAAGAGACATGAAGAAGAGGGGACACATGTTGATGAAGAAGAGACATGAAGAAGAGGGGACACATGTTGATGTAGAAGAGACGTGAAGAAGAGGGGACACATGTTGATGAAGAAGAGACATGAAGAAGAGGGGACACATGTTGATGTGGAAGAGACATGAAGAAGAGGGGACACATGTTGATGTAGAAGAGACATGAAGAAGAGGGGACACATGTTGATGTAGAAGAGACATGAAGAAGAGGGGACACATGTTGATGTAGAAGAGACATGAAGAAGAGGGGACACATGTTGATGAAGAAGAGACATGAAGAAGAGGGGACACATGTTGATGTAGAAGAGACATGAAGAAGAGGGGACACATGTTGATGTAGAAGAGACATGGAGAAGAGGGGACACATGTTGATGTAGAAGAGACATGAAGAAGAGGGGACACATGTTGATGTGGAAGAGACATGAAGAAGAGGGGACACGTGTTGATGTAGAAGAGACATGAAGAAGAGGGGACACGTGTTGATGTAGAAGAGACATGAAGAAGAGGGGACACATGTTGATGTGGAAGAGACATGAAGAAGAGGGGACACGTGTTGATGTAGAAGAGACATGAAGAAGAGGGGACACGTGTTGATGTAGAAGAGACATGGAGAAGAGGGGACACATGTTGATGTAGAAGAGACATGGAGAAGAGGGGACACATGTTGATGTAGAAGAGACATGAAGAAGAGGGGGACACATGTTGATGTAGAAGAGACATGAAGAAGAGGGGACACATGTTGATGTAGAAGAGACATGAAGAAGAGGGGGACACATGTTGATGTAGAAGAGACATGAAGAAGAGGGGACACATGTTGATGTAGAAGAGACATGGAGAAGAGGGGACACATGTTGATGTAGAAGAGACATGGAGAAGAGGGGACACATGTTGATGTAGAAGAGACATGAAGAAGAGGGGACACATGTTGATGTAGAAGAGACATGAAGAAGAGGGGACACATGTTCATGTAGAAGAGACATGAAGAAGAGGGGACACATGTTGATGTAGAAGAGACATGAAGAAGAGGGGACACATGTTGATGTAGAAGAGACATGGAGAAGAGGGGACACATGTTGATGTAGAGGAGACATGAAGAAGAGGGGACACATGTTGATGTAGAAGAGACATGAAGAAGAGGGGACACATGTTGATGTAGAAGAGACATGAAGAAGAGGGGACACATGTTGATGTAGAAGAGACATGAAGAAGAGGGGACACATGTTGATGTAGAAGAGACATGGAGAAGAGGGGACACATGTTGATGTAGAGGAGACATGAAGAAGAGGGGACACATGTTGATGTAGAAGAGACATGAAGAAGAGGGGACACATGTTGATGTAGAAGAGACATGGAGAAGAGGGGACACATGTTGATGTAGAGGAGACATGAAGAAGAGGGGACACATGTTGATGTAGAAGAGACATGGAGAAGAGGGGACACATGTTGATGTAGAAGAGACATGAAGAAGAGGGGACACGTGTTGATGTAGAAGAGACATGAAGAAGAGGGGACACATGTTGATGTAGAAGAGACATGAAGAAGAGGGGACACATGTTGATGTAGAAGAGACATGGAGAAGAGGGGACACATGTTGATGTAGAGGAGACATGAAGAAGAGGGGACACATGTTGATGTAGAAGAGACATGAAGAAGAGGGGACACATGTTGATGTAGAAGAGACATGAAGAAGAGGGGACACATGTTGATGTAGAAGAGACATGAAGAAGAGGGGACACATGTTGATGTAGAAGAGACATGAAGAAGAGGGGACACATGTTGATGTAGAAGAGACATGAAGAAGAGGGGACACATGTTGATGTAGAAGAGACATGAAGAAGAGGGGACACATGTTGATGTAGAGGAGACATGAAGAAGAGGGGACACATGTTCATGTAGAAGAGACATGAAGAAGAGGGGACACATGTTGATGTAGAAGAGACGTGAAGAAGAGGGGACACATGTTGATGTAGAGGAGACATGAAGAAGAGGGGACACATGTTGATGTAGAAGAGACATGAAGAAGAGGGGACACATGTTGATGTAGAAGAGACATGAAGAAGAGGGGACACATGTTGATGTAGAAGAGACATGGAGAAGAGGGGACACATGTTGATGTAGAAGAGACATGAAGAAGAGGGGACACATGTTGATGTAGAAGAGACATGGAGAAGAGGGGACACATGTTGATGAAGAAGAGACATGGAGAAGAGGGGACACATGTTGATGTAGAAGAGACATGAAGAAGAGGGGACACATGTTGATGAAGAAGAGACATGAAGAAGAGGGGACACATGTTGATGAAGAAGAGACATGAAGAAGAGGGGACACATGTTGATGTAGAAGAGACATGAACAAGTGCATAATAATAATAATACATGGGACTTTTATAGCGCTTTTCATGAAACTCAAAGACGCTTATAATCACATAATAGGTGACCTTTAAAATAACCAAACTGTTTTTATTCCCAGACGACAACATCCTGCGGCTGCTGGAGTCGAGGAGAGGCGAGAGAGAGGCTCAGGCCTACGCGAAGAAGCGAAGACAGCGAGAGAAACAGTCCCAGGAGGGGATTTAACCCAAAACAAAAAACACAAGACAGTTGTTCTTCTTCCAAAAATATACAATTTGTTTTAATGATCTGTACCAAAAACATGGGAGAATCCACTCAGACAGAAACACTGGTGATGATGAGCTGTGGACAGGATGCTGAGATATGGGTTTAATCAAAGACTTGCATTTAAACAATAATCCGTCTGCTTCTCTGATGCTTTGTCTAATCAGTGCAAGAAATAGCTATGGATTTAATCAACGATGCGTGTGTATGAATAACATATATATAAGACGAGATTTGACACAGTGTGACATGTCAAAGATACGGAAGAGGATTAGGGCCACATGGTCACATGTGAATATATTTCAATTCTGACTGTCTTCCCAAAATTGAACAGATTCTCAAAAATTATCTTTTTATTTTGCAAAGAAAAACTGAATACTTAATAAAGTCATGATTCTTGAAGAAAGTAACAATTCTGAGAAAAGAGGTATTCAATTTTTGTTCCTAAACTAAAAAAATGTTTCAGAGATGCTGATCCTGGGTCTGTTCGGGGGTTTTAAGATGCTGATCCTGGGTCTGTTCGGGGGTTTTAAGATGCTGATCCTGGGTCTGTTCGGGGTTTTAAGATGCTGATCCTGGGTCTGTTCGGGGTTTTAAGATGCTGATCCTGGGTCTGTTCGGGGGTTTTAAGATGCTGATCCTGGGTCTGTTCGGGGGTTATAAGATGCTGATCCTGGGTCTGTTCGGGGGTTATAAGATGCTGATCCTGGGTCTGTTCGGGGGTTATAAGATGCTGATCCTGGGTCTGTTCGGGGGTTTTAAGATGCTGATCCTGGGTCTGTTCGGGGGTTTTAAGATGCTGATCCTGGGTCTGTTCGGGGTTTTAAGATGCTGATCCTGGGTCTGTTAGGGGTTTTAAGATGCTGATCCTGGGTCTGTTCGGGGGTTATAAGATGCTGATCCTGGGTCTGTTAGGGGTTTTAAGATGCTGATCCTGGGTCTGTTCGGGGGTTATAAGATGCTGATCCTGGGTCTGTTAGGGGTTTTAAGATGCTGATCCTGGGTCTGTTCGGGGGTTATAAGATGCTGATCCTGGGTCTGTTCGGGGTTTTAAGATGCTGATCCTGGGTCTGTTCGGGGTTTTAAGATGCTGATCCTGGGTCTGTTCGGGGGTTATAAGATGCTGATCCTGGGTCTGTTAGGGGTTATAAGATGCTGATCCTGGGTCTGTTCGGGGTTATAAGATGCTGATCCTGGGTCTGTTCGGGGGTTATAAGATGCTGATCCTGGGTCTGTTCGGGGGTTTTAAGATGCTGATCCTGGGTCTGTTCGGGGTTATAAGATGCTGATCCTGGGTCTGTTCGGGGGTTATAAGATGCTGATCCTGGGTCTGTTCGGGGTTATAAGATGCTGATCCTGGGTCTGTTCGGGGTTATAAGATGCTGATCCTGGGTCTGTTCGGGGTTATAAGATGCTGATCCTGGGTCTGTTCGGGGGTTATAAGATGCTGATCCTGGGTCTGTTAGGGGGTTTTAAGATGCTGATCCTGGGTCTGTTTGGGGGTTTTAAGATGCTGATCCTGGGTCTGTTTGGGGGTTTTAAGATGCTGATCCTGGGTCTGTTCGGGGGTTTTAAGATGCTGATCCTGGGTCTGTTCGGGGGTTTTAAGATGCTGATCCTGGGTCTGTTCGGGGGTTTTAAGATGCTGATCCTGGGTCTGTTAGGGGGTTTTAAGATGCTGATCCTGGGTCTGTTAGGGGGTTTTAAGATGCTGATCCTGGGTCTGTTCGGGGGTTTTAAAATGCTGATCCTGGGTCTGTTCGGGGTTTTAAGATGCTGATCCTGGGTCTGTTCGGGGTTTTAAGATGCTGATCCTGGGTCTGTTCGGGGGTTTTAAGATGCTGATCCTGGGTCTGTTCGGGGTTTTAAGATGCTGATCCTGGGTCTGTTCGGGGGTAAATATCAGAATGCTGACTTTTTTTCAAAAAATAATCTGATTTTTTCCCCGAATTCAAAAGAATCTTCCGAATTTTGGTATTTTTCCGGAAAAAATTGAGAATTCTGAGTTTAATGTCAGATCAATAATAACCTTTCATCAGATCTCCAAAGAGTATCTTACATGTGGGCCTGATCCTCTTCCGTACAGAGATTACGTATAAAACGGGCTGGTTTTAACATAAAAAAGAAAAGATGACATTTCAAAGACTACACACGAGTTCATTTGCCTTGATTGCGTTAACATGCTTTTCCTCTTCCAGTTGATGTTCAGAAGAATGTTAGAAACCTGAGTGCTTCAACAGAGGCCGTCTGTCGTAGACATTTAAACAAATATTACTAAACATTTTAAATATTGAGAATTGATTTCGCTAAAAAAACTATGAAAGAATTAAGGATATAATCTACAAGTGCTACTGGTATAACGACCCCGATTTGGCGTTAGCGGTTTATATTATAAATGATGCTAAATATGCCCTTTAAGCGTTTTAAGTCAGACCTGATTATTTATTTTAAGATAGCTCATGAATGCCAGACATGTTTAAGAGTTGCTGTTGACCTTAAAAAGTGGCACAACATTTTTAAAACCTCAGGAAACACAATTCCAGATAGATAGATGGATAGGTAGGTAGGTAGGTAGAGAGATAGAGAGATAGGTAGATAGGTAGATAGGTAGATAACACCGGTATCATGTTCTTTAAAGTGAGCTAATTCTGTAAAATGCCAGCGTTTTATTGTTTTTCCTGTATTTTGATATATTTTTGTGTTGAATTGAGCCAATCCCTTTGATGGCTTAAATGCCTCGGAACATGTAACATTCGTAGGCGAGTTCTCCGCATTATTGTCTCTTTTATTAGTCACGTACTCGTTGTGTAAAGGCCTTTTTTAGAGTTTGAGAGGAAGTAGAAGCAGGTCTTATTTTCACAAAGATAGAAAAGGGGTGAAGAACAGTGTCGCTGGTCAAGAGCATTAACTAGTAAAAAGTACTTGTGTTCCTCGGTAACCAACGAGAAAAATCCTAGAGCTTTCACAGAGATTTATCAAATACAAAACCAGATCTGTGTCACATTATAAAACGTCCTCCAACTGATTTTTAGATAGAGATCCAGAGCTGGTATTATGAGAGGAATCAGGACTGACTGGTGTAAGAAGGGGGTCAGAAGATGCTGCTGGTCTAGGGTCTATTCGGGGGTCAGGAGAACTGCTGATCCTGGGTCTGTTCATGGGTTATAAGATGCTGGTCCGGGGTCTTTTCGGGGGTCAGGAGAGCTGCTGGTCCTGGGTCTGTTTGGGGCAGAGGGGGCATTCCGTGGAGCTGGAGCATCTCTCACACTGCAGGCCGTGACCACAGATCAGCGAAACTGATCCTGGATCTCCACAGGTCACACAGCAGTGCCTCGGCTTCCTGTACACCACCTTCAGGAGACGCAGAGGAACACATTTAGACCTCAAGAAATACATCTCGGAGGATTAACCCGGTGGTTTTTGTAACATAAGGCCCGATAATGATTCAGATAATGATAATAATTGTTTTCACGGTATCCCCCAGAGTTGAAAATAGTTTTACTTTGTTTTTAACACAGCAGTGGGAGGCTTACCATGTGACGAATAACAACCAATCAAAGCCGAGAGATGTCTTTACTTCCCTAAATATTAATTTACAGCAAATATGGAGGAGTTGTTTTAAAAGCTTAGCACCTCCTCAGCACCCCTCGAAAAGTCGACACTTCCATCGACCCGGGAAAAAACGTTCATGATTACGGCCCCTTAAAGGACCCCAAATGACGTTCACCACTACTTTGTCAGTCAATAAAAACTTCACAGGTCAACAAATACAAATATAGCTATAGAAACCCAAAAAATAAACAAATTAAAAGACAATTAATTTGGGTGCTAGTCATACCGAGTTCTGTTTATAGCGCACTTTTACAAGATACCAGAGAAAACGTTACTCTAAATCAGGGGTGTCGAACTCAAATCCGGCCCGCAAGAGCTTGCAAAGAATATAATACGTTTATTATACGGTTACATGCCACTTTACAGAAGCACGTTGTCCATAAACTACATGTCCCACAATCTCATTTTGTGACATGCGCACTGAAGAGACTTGCAATTATTTGCCCTAGACTTCTGCTTTCAGACATTAATTATGAAGTTATTACCCTATCCCATAATAATCCAATGCAGAGGCAATCATGTAATATAATACATTATTTTATATAATTATATATGTATATTTATAAAGTCTTAAAGTTACAACCGGCCCTTTGAGTGCAACCTTAATGCTGATGTGGCCGCCATGAAATTGAGTTTGACCCCCCTGGTATAAAACATTAGAGACTTTGCACAACTCGAAGAAAGTAGGCCTCGTCGTTTGAAGGTATTTTAATGCACGATACACGTTATGCTGTTGTTGGTAGACTACAGTGTTCTACAAGTGTGTGTGTGTGTGTGTGTGTGTGTGTGTGTGTGTGTGTGTGTGTGTGTGTGTGTGTGTGTTACCTGCTCCACAGCCTGTAAGCTGCTGCAGATCTGCGCCTGCAGGCTGACCACAGAGTCCAGCGGCAGGCGGTGCAGCAGCTGCAGCTGATGGAGAGCCAGATGAGGGTTTTCTCCGTTCCTTAAGCTCTCCAGCGCCTCCTGCAGGAGAGTCGCCTGCCGCTGCGCCTCCACCTCCGCCTGCTTCGCTCGCTCCGACTCCATCGATAACCGAGAAGCACGAGATCGAGACTCCTCTGCGTCCGCCTTCAGAGCCGCCCACGACTACAGCAGGAAGAAAGCAGGAAACAATATCATGTACCAGGTGAACGCACTATTTATGAAGGACAGCTTTTTCAGAAGTGCAGCAAAAGACAACAGGAGGCAGAAAACCCAGTCAAAACAGGATTGCACTATTTATAAAGTAGAGAAGGAGGACAAATGAACATGTGTCCCCGGTGTGTCAGGGAACTCACCAAGTGTCAGAAAACACAACCCTCTCTCTTTTCCTCCGTACCCAAATCTCTAAAAACCGGGCTGCAACGGAGCTGATACAGACGTTAATGTTTCTACGTCACAAAAGAGGTGCTCCGCTTAGTGGTCAACTCTCCACCTATCAGGGGAATGAGAGGTTGGGCCACAGCCGGCCATTGCCGCTCGAAAGCGCTGGAGACGCTGTAGTACATATGCCAGGCCTGTAAGTGGCGCTGTAGTCTGCCACAAAAGCAGCGAAGAAGACTTCTCGCGCATGGTTGCCATGGTTGCCCTTCTGTTTATTCTCCGCTGTGGCTCTTTGTCTCCCTCCCCGAGGCAAGCGTTTGCTCGTGCTGCTGTAATTCAATGCAATCCCTCCCTCGCTGTAATTCTCTCCGATAGTCCACCAGCAGATGACAAACACCCACCTCTCCGCCTCTTCCAAGGGACGAGGGGACCGTGCGGCAGAGTTTCAGTTGATGTCCGTTAAAGTTTAAATCTTCCGGACAAAATTAGAAAAGTGCCGGTCAAAGGTCTTCTTTGTTATTTATTGAGCTTTAAAACAAATGAATAACGACTCTATATATTCATATAAGAATAAAACACGGAGGACGGAGATCTCTTTTCCTCCCCCTCTTCTGACAGCCCAGCAGCTGATCTCTGACCACGCCCCCCCTCTCCTGCAGGGGGGCGTGGCCAGCTGCAGCTCATTTGCATTAAAGCTACTTCACAGAATCAGCCCTTGTGAAGACAGGGCTGGAATAGAGCGAAATGAGGCATGGCTCAAATGCAGGATCTGTTTGGTATTTTGAAAAAAAACTATATTTATATACTTTATATAGGTATGGCCCAACAAAATATTATTCAAATATAGCATGATAGGTCCACTTTAATTGTAATTCTTCTTGCACTATTTTACACAAGTTTATCTCTCAGGTATTCTGTATTGTTGGCGGAGCCTGGGATTTCAGATCTGTATTACCAACAAACTATGTTGCTGACGTTGTGCATAAGACAATAAAGCCATGAAGTCATGATGAAATGAAAACACTCAGTAAATGATTTGGTGTCCCTGTATTCTAGTATGTATTATTATTGTAATCCATTTCAAAACATTTTTTAAACCATGAAGTCACGTAAAAATGAAGGGAAATCTTGGGGGAAAGTATTATTGTTTATTTTGTAACTTTTCTTCAGAATTTTTACTTTTTATCCCAAAATAGAAAAAGAAAAATCTGAAAAACTCTGAAAAGCAAAAAAACCCCAGAATACTTACAAACTCAAAATTCAGGAAATAATTCAAAATGTGAGGAAAACGTTTTTTTCCCTTAAAATCGCATAAATCTGTTTTTTTCAGAATTTTTATTTTTCATCCCAGAATGCTGACTGTCTTACTGAAAAAACTGAATATCAGAATTATGAAATTATAAAATACCTACCGGATAATCTTTCTTTAGTATAAACCTCATGGCTGTTTCTCTCACACTCGCCACACATGTATTTGATTATTTATTATTGAATTTCAAATAAACAAATACAATATTTTGCATGTTTTTAGGCTTAATGTGTAATAAAAAAAAAGTTAGATACCTACCGGATAAGATAAGATAAGATAGTACTTTATTGATCACAATTTGGGACATTTTTTAATCTACTGTAGGGGTGTTTCTCAATGTCGAGGAAGGATGCTCCAGAGCCACTATTTCAAGGATGCTACATCATCGAGGACTGTTCCAATGTCCAGGCTCCTTGGAATTCTACCGAGCCCGGCGTCCTTCGTTGCGGGAAATGTCGAGGCTGCACATGTGTATCCTCCGCGGTCTTAAAAAACCAATTTCCAAAATCTTTGGCGGAAATGGCGCTCCATCTAAGACCTCGCATATGACGCACACCTGTTAGCCTGTTCCACCTTTCTTCGCTTTCCGAGGCTAGGAAGGATTCTTAACTAGCTTCTGAAGGACCTGACTCAGAGGGACATGTACTACCAAGGAAGCGTCCTCGACATTGAGAAACACCCTCTAGCTTTAGCATAAACCTGGTGGCCATTTCTGGCACTTTTTTTCAGCAAAAAAAATCCAGAATACTAAAATCTGAATTCTCGGAGAAAAACTCATAATTCAGGAAATAATGAATTTTTTTTCCAGAATTTTAACTTGTTATCCCAGAATGCCGACTGTCTTACTGAAAAAAAGAAAAAAATCTGAAAAATTCTCATATTTCTGTGAAAAAAAACCAGAATACTTAAAAAGTCAGAATTATAAAATTATATATTACCTACCAAATAATCTTTAGCATAAACTCCATTTCTCTCCCTCTCGCTCCACTACCTACCCACCTGAGCTGAGTGCCTCCAGCTGTGGCTCCACTGCTTCAGCGCCCTCTGCGCCTCCTCCAGCTCCTGCTTCAGACGAGGGGTTTCTGCACACGCCCCTGAAGACAGCAGCGTGGGGGGGGTCCCCGGAGAGCCCTGCCCCGAGGGGAAGTGCTCCCAGATACTACTGCTCATACCATTCAGACCTGCAAGGAGAAGGGATGGAAATGTAGATTAACTATTCACTTCAAAACCTAAAAGAGGACATATTCTGCTCAGGTGTCTCCCTTGTGGTTGCAGTAGAAGATTAAATAAAATACAGGACATTTATATTTCCACCAACCTAACGAGCTGTGCGACGGTCCCAGGAAGGTGCTCTCTGATTGGCTGGGCTGTGAGAGGGGCGTGGAGAAGAAAGGCGAAGAGTGCGTCCTGATTGGTGGAGAAGGCGAAGGCGAGCTAAAAGGGGCGGAGCTGCTAAAGGATCCCGGGATATTTACTGGAGCTGAACTCTGGAACTGGCTACCTCCTGGAGAAAAGAGACAAACAATAATGAGTTGTGTTTAAAGCGATGTGTTTCTCAAAGGTTGGAGTTGTTAATAGAAACAATCAGTTTTAATTGACTAGCAGCAGCTACAAATATGTAGAAAGGAGAAAAACATATCAGAAAGATGAAGGTGTTCTGGGAAGAGGTACGAGGTACAATAAACAAGATCATTTCAAAGCAGATTTGACTGGATCCAAAGTGTTTTCTGTTGGGTTTATATCCAGAAGAGCATGAATATAGTGAGCGAACATTTTGGCGCTTTCCCACTGCAGGGCCTCGCACGGCTTAGTACGGTATGGGTAGGCCAGGCTCACTTTATGCTGCGTTTCCATTACAGTTTAGTAACAGGGGTAGTAACTATAGTAACGCAGTGTAGGCGGGGCGATCGGCTGTTCGGCGGGCGGAGCAACGCTGCGTAAAACTGCCGTGACGTCATCTTCAATGCGAACCACAAAACCAACATCAGCCGTTAGCTGTTAGCCCTCAGAGCTCACAGCTCCTCATATCTGTTCAGAAACTAGACAGAAGTGAAACAAGTACAAACCACAGACTGCCTGTGTCATGGTGAATACAGTCGCTGGTTTATTTATGTCTGTAGGCCGTTGTTGTGAGTGTGGACGGTCGGAGCATATATAACGTTATCTTAGCCGATCTCCATTCAGAAAACACGCATTTTAAAGGTGTTTCGCCTGCCGTCTGTCTGCAGACTTGTCAAAGCATTAATTCATGTTTTTTACTAACCGGTATCAGTACGTTGTTACTTCGGCATCATTTTGAAACGTGTATTACAATTAAATCACGGTCAAATATGTTCATTTTGTTGTAGTGGCCCCCTTGCCAGCGATTCTCTCTGACCAATCAGCAGTCGAGAGTGTTTACGTCACTAGTTTAGCGTATTCAGCCCGGTTGTTGGAGGGCCAGAAAAAAGGTGAAAAAGTCCCCGTTAGCCGGAACCAGCCCTAGTGGAAACGCAACAAAAACCGGGCTACGTGCTGGAGTGTAAAAGCGCCATTATAGACCTCTGCTTCTTCTACGTCAAAACCTGTATTGCATTGTTTTGGAAAAAGGCTCACAGCCCAAGCATCACTGATTGGTTGAATCGGAAGCTGTCAGGCCTCCCATTGGAGGAGATATCCTGATATTAAGGTCCAGACAGCATGTGTTAGAGCAGGGGTTCCCAACCTTTTTTCCCAAGAGCCCCCCCAAATGACTCCTGTTGGAAGGGCCGCCCCCCCCCCACACACACACACACTCACGGGGGGGGGGGGCAACAGCAGTAATTAAAGTTTAAAAGTCTCAAAAATGCTACAACTACTGTCACAAACTGGATGAATGTGAAGTATTTTGTTAAAGAGGATGAAAGCGTAATTAAGGAGCACTATTGGAGCGACTTTGATGGTTATTGGACTAGGATTAATTCATTTGCCCCCCAGGTTGGGAACCACTGTGTTAGAGAAGGTGTGGAGGCCCTTTATCGATTATGTAAAGGATCTTAATGGATCTAATGGTCAAGAGGATAAATAGGTGCAGATCCCTAGACCGCCTTGTGTCATACTGAAGTCAAATTAGATTTAGAATGACAGATACAATTCAAGAACATGTATTTGAGGTAACGAGCAGCAGCTAAAAATATGTAGAAAGGAGACAAACCTAAATAGTCAGGACTTTATTTGTTGCACTACCGGAAATGTGCTACGCTTGTCGGGTTAAATTGGATGATAAATATTTGTAAATAATCTCAAAAGTTTGGTAGACACTGCTTAACATGGTGTGAAATGGTGGGTTTGGTTCAGATATTACCCAGCATGCCTCCCACAATGGGTAAAGCAGAGCTGCTCTCCAGCCCCGAAGCACCGAAATCATTCAGATCCAGATCATCTAGCGCCGACTCTGAAACAGAAACACAAATATAAATCAGATTTACAGTCATTTCAGATTCATACCGTCACAGCTCTCTGATTTCTGCACGTCTCCAACTCACCAACGACGGACTCCACGGTCTCACTGGTGGGATAGAAAGGCAGGGCGTTGGCGTTCATGCCCGAAGACATGCTGGATCCCAGGGGACCAATGGGAGCCGGGCTGGGGGGGGTGGCAGCCAGACTGGAGGGGATGCTGGAGGAGAGACTGAGGGGGCTTCCTACTGGCAGAAACACCAGCAAGTCCTGGAGGAATCACGAGAAGCAAGAGTTACTAACGCTGCGAGGGGTAAGGTGCAGCGAGGCGGTCATTACTGCAAAAAGAGCCCTGGATCACGGAGCCCGACGCGATGACCCGGTCGGTTGTTCTTTCTCCAATAATGCCGCCTCGCTGCACGTTATCCCGCTTATTTCACGGCCAGATACTAAACACACTAACGACTGGGCTCCCAATATTAATTGAAATGATTTTATTGACTTAAAAATGATCGTATAGCTTCCTCTAAGAAAGTAAACTCTGGCTGGAGCTCCGACAAGTGAATTTAAAGGTCCCATGTCATGGCCATTTCTACTGATCATAATTCCATTGTTGAGGTCTCGCAGCAGCGAGCCTCGCAACGTCCCGCCGAGTGTGTGTGTGTGAGGAAGCCCGCGGATTGGTCCAAACGTAACGGCTCTGCGTATACCCGAATACGTCACTATACCCAGGAAGCAAACAATGGAAAAAGATAAATGTCCAACGAGGCGTTCTGGGGCAGCACAGACAGGTCTTCTCTGTGTTAGAGTTTCACTCTCTACAGGGTGCACTTTGAGGGTTTGTGACTCTGCAGACCGTTCACATGCAGAAGCTTCAGAACACAAGGGGACGGGTGATAACCAGAACATTATGACATGGGACCTTTAAGATGAAGGCAGCTCTGATCAATGTCCACAGTTTCAAGTCCTTAGACACTACAGAGTCCATACCGTGTTCCTGTTAGTGTTCACTTCCTGTCTGTATCTGAGGTCCAGCACTGCGTCTTTTAAACTTTCTCTCTCTTCATCCTCCTTAAGTCATTATAGTGCTTAGCAGTCTGTACTAATGTCATATTGACTTCTAAAATGTCCCATTTGACCAATCAGAGTCGATTATTCAACTAACCCATGTACATGTCTGCAGGAGTCCTGAAGTCACATGGAAGACCTTTCAAGACCTTTTTTAAGACCCTTTCCGTACATTTTAAGACCTCATCTCCACTTGGAGTTTTAACCGGTTGCCTTGGCGACACACTTTACCTCACATTGACTATATACAGTATGGATTGTCCTTCCTCCTTATCTTCCAACCATTTGGACGCAGTCTTGCATTTCCCCATAACGATGTTGTTTAGCAACCGGCGTAAACGGGCCTTCGCGCTATCAAGCAGTGAGCGCGCGATGTCCTGTTCAGATGACGTCAAACCCAACGGGATGCCATCAATAAACTACACAGAATCACACTACACACCTACGCAATGATTACATTCAGGCAGACTGTAGAATACAACCTCTCTGGACCATTTATATACTTATTGGAAACAAGATACAAAATGTAACACCTTGGAAAATTCTGTTTAATACTTTTAATAGCCTTAATTTTCACTAAATTGATTTATCAACTTGTAATACTCTGTAAGAACCGCGGACACCCTGATGGAATAAAATGTGTTGTAGCGCTAGCCAATAGGAGCGTGAGTGTTCGATAGTGATGTCACTGTGTTCAGGAAGTAAACAAAGCAGTCCAATGGAGGCGTTGTACCTGTTTGCTTTGTGCTGTTGCAAATTCTCTGTGTCGTTGCTCGAGAGCGAAACTCCTTTGCTTCGCCTGAAACCAGAAAGATGAGAAAGATCAAAACATGCAGGATATCAGTCTGAGAAAAAGTTTTTTAAATGTTATTAAAAAGAAATGATAATGTTTGTGAAGTGAATTTAATGTATTTCATGTTGTTATGTCTTGTGGAGGTTTGTGTGCTGTTTAAAGAAAGTGTTTAAAAAAAACGTTGTATTTATATTTAATATTTCTTCATAATGCACACAACCCTCTGTTCTCCTCACCTGGTCTTCCCTCTCAAACCCCGGCGCTCTCCCGTAACCCCCCTCTCCGGCCCACGCGCTCATATCCTCGCACAGAGACAACACATTACCCAGAAGCCCTTGCTCCGCCACACATGACCCCGCAGAGGGCGAGAAAGGGTCCGAATAAGAACCAGAACCCATCCTGAGCCTGATGGGGCTGGAGCAGGCTTCCTGAGCAGGGAGGGGGTCCGGAGGCCGGGGCGGCGGGGGGGGAGCTGGGGGTGGGGAAGGAAGGCTCCTCTGAGGAAAAAGGTCCTGGAAGAGGGGTACAAAGAAAATGTATTTAAATGGTCTCCTATTACAGGGTTCATACACTTTTTCACCAATGACTTCTCCAGGACCGTTACCTAATTGTCCATGACCAAAAAAATTACTCTTTCTCAGTTTTCTCAATTAATCGTATTTTAATCTCGATTACGATTTGGCTTGCAACGATTACGATCGAAATAAAACGATTATTATTATTTTTTGTATTGGTTTTTCAGTTGAGTTGTACTTAAAGTTCAGGGTAATTAACTGTTAAAAACATACTGTTACATTTCTTTTTTTTCAATAAATGGATGTTTTCAAAGTAAATGGATAATCGTTTTTAATAATCGTGATATCAATTATTGACCAAAATAATCGTGATTATGATTTTCGCCATAATCGCACAGCCCTACTCAGCGCACCACTGAAAATGGCAACAGGAAAATAAGGTCTGCATCTGAAACATGTTGTGTCTAAAACAAATCCAATAGGCTTACTAGCTTCTACCTCGTCAGTTAAATGCCATTCTACGTTTCATTACTATACGATACAGTATTTATTATCGTTATAGTATTACTATTTCGGCGATTAGATAAAATATAAATTATATTTAGTTACATTTCCATGACTTTTCCAGGTGTTTAATGACCGTAGGAACCCTGCTACTATACAGATCACCCATTCTAGCCCCCTCTATTTCAGCCCTGTTACTAAAGTGCTGATTCTGGGTCAGTAGCTGTAAAGGTCTCTTATCATGCTATTTGTAGGCAATAGCAGATATATAAAATACATTAAAAACATGTCTATGAAGTGTTTTGCTCAAAAACAGATCATGCATTTTAGACATCCCTCATATCCCTCTATGTGTATACAACACATGCATAAAGTGCATTTTGCATGATAGGAGACCTTTAATGATTCGGTTGTTTTTAGAGGTGTTTCTAAAAGGACTTACTTTCAATGTGAGCGAAGGCGCAGAACGGCCCCCGAGGGCAGCTGCCACTCTGCTGCATGTCGTTACACTTTGTGGATTTATAGATCTGGAATAACAAGCAAACACAAAAGGTTTATTTACCTGCGGGGATTTCTTTCAACATTCTGAGAAAATGGATGTTTTTTTTAGATATTATTTTCTCCCAGAATGTTTAGATAACAGATAAAACCTTTTTTTCTGAGATGAGCTGCAAATTGTATTTTTATTCATAATTTAAAAAAAAAAAATCCCAAGAATTCTGTTTTTTAGGAAACAAATTAATTCTCAGGTAAAAACAACTAATTTTTTTCTGACATTTTATTTTTCTCCAAAACGTTACTTTTTTCACGATTCTGATCTCAGTTTTCTGAGATTTTCATTTTTATTATAAAAAAATTATCTGAATGTTTTTTTTCTTCAGAATTAAAAAAACACAAAAAAAAAATTCCTCGAGAATTCTGAAAATGTCAGGAAAATAAAAATCAAATAATGTCTCCGTTTATATATTTTGACAGACGGACCTCGGGGTGAAACTGCTGCTCGGTGCGGGTGTGGCAGTACTGACAGCTCTCCGCTCCCTCACATTTGCTCGGGTCGCCCCACTCCTCGCTCTGCTTCACCGCCGGACACGGCAGCGCTCTGCTCACACGGGGAGACGCGTATTCAGACACGCCCAAACTCAAAGAAACCAACAGCAAGGTGTGGAAATACAGTCGGGGGTGCTTCACCTGTATTTGTGTTTGTGCGGGCTGCGTCTCCGGTCTTTGCTGTTGTGGAAGTACGGACAGGCGTAACCTTGACGACACAAACGAGGAGGTTTCTTACAGAGCTCCGTTTTATAGTGGGAGAGCACGTAGTTGTTATCTGAGGGAGGAAAAACACAGGGACAAAGACTGGTAAACACCCGAGTGCTCCGACTAACATCCATCTGTTCGTCATCTTGCAATCGACTTATTTATCACCGCAATAAACCGTATTTGATTTTGACAGAATTTCTACACTTTGTGCATATGACAATAAAACCATGGAACCTTGAAATGTGAAAATTCATCAGATCAAGAGGTTTGTTCCTGGATTTATAGTTTGTGAACATATTTCTCTTAATTTTTTAATGTTATAATAGTTTTCATAATGCTACTATTTGTCATTTAATTTTTCCACAACTTTATTTTACCTTGCAGAAAGTGAGAGGTATAATAAGGTCCGTTTTTTAGGTCTAAAAAAACTGAAATTCATAGAAATACGTAGAATTCTGAGATTTTCAAATGCAATTTTTTTTTTAGGAATTCCCCGATTTTCCACATCTTTCTAATGTTTTCCGTTTCATGACCGAGGAAACCTATTTTAAAGGTCTCCTATCATACTGTTTATCGACAATATATCACAGGCCTCAGATATATCCAGAACCCGTCTCTGATTGGCTGAAACACCAAACAGATCATTGCAGCATTACCCATAATCCCCTCTGTTTCAGCCCTGTTTTAAAAGTGCTGATTCTCTGTCTGTTACTTTAGATGAAAGTAAGGAGCCCCTCCCCACGCCCCTCTGAGAGACATTTGGTTACAAAGAACTCAAAGGTGCTCTAGGAGGAGATTCAGGTGATAGGGGGGGGGGGGGGGTTACCTTGGTTGCTGATTGGCTAATGGTTACACAAGACAACACATCGTTATGACATCACAAAGTGGCCAAAATCTGATCAGCTCATTTTCAGACAGGTTTATATAGAAATGGATCAAAAAGAGAGAGAAACTTTCAGAGTCTCTTTCCACAGAGGGGACACGTGTTGATGTAGAAGAGACATGAAGAAGAGGGGACACATGTTGATGTAGAAGAGACATGGAGAAGAGGGGACACATGTTGATGTAGAAGAGACATGAAGAAGAGGGGACACATGTTGATGTAGAAGAGACATGAAGAAGAGGGGACACATGTTGATGTAGAGGAGGCATGAAGAAGAGGGGACACATGTTGATGTAGAAGAGACATGAAGAAGAGGGGACACATGTTGATGTAGAAGAGACATGAAGAAGAGGGGACACATGTTGATGTAGAAGAGACATGAAGAAGAGGGACACACTGTTGATGTAGAAGAGACATGAAGAAGAGGGGACACATGTTGATGTAGAAGAGACATTGAAGAAGAGGGGACACATGTTGATGTAGAAGAGACATGAAGAAGAGGGGACACATGTTGATGTAGAAGAGACTGAAGAAGAGGGGACACATATTGATGTAGAAGAGACCGTGAAGAAGAGAGGACACATGTTGATGTAGAAGAGACATGAAGAAGAGAGGACACATGTGTTGATGTAGAAGAGACATGAAGAAGAGGGACACCATGTTGATGTAGAAGAGACATGAAGAAGAGGGGACACATGTTGATGTAGAAGAGACATGAAGAAGAGGGGACACGTGTGATGTAGAAGAGACATGAAGAAGAGGAGACACATGTTGATGTAGAAGAGACATGAAGAAGAGGGAGACACGTGTTGATGTAGAGAAAGGACCTGAAGAAGAGGGGACACATGTTGATGAAGAAGAGACATGAAGAAGAGGGGACACGTGTTGATGTAGAAGAGACATGGAGAAGACGTACCTTGCCAGCGTGGCTCTTCGCTCAGGATCTTCTCGATGAGCGCTGTACTCGCCGCCTGACCCGACTCTCCTCCGCCTCCCCCCCCCTCCGAGGGACCCTGACACTCCATCACCTGAACCTCCCTGACACACACACACACACACACACACACACACACACACACAGTAAACAAAGGGATATCGTACACAGGTCAAGTGATCCGATGAGTTATATGTATCTGCTGATTAGTCCAGCTTCGGTCCAAACGGGTCACTTTGAATGTTTTCGTCTGAATTCTGGGTTAGGGGTTAACATTCTGGGTTAGGGGTTAGCATTCTGGGTTAGGGGTAGCATTCTGGGGTTAGGGGTTAGCATTCTGGGTTAGGGGTTAACATTCTGGGTTAGGGGGTTAACCTTCTGGGTTAGGTCTGGGTTAGGGGTTAACATTCTGGGTTAGGGTTAACATTCTGGGTTAGGGTTAACATTCTGGGTTAGGGGTTAACATTCTGGGTTAGGGGTTAACATTCTGGGTTAGGGGTTAACATTCTGGGTTAGGGGTTAGCATTCTGGGTTAGGGTTAACATTCTGGGTTAGGGGTTAGCATTCTGGGTTAGGGGTTAACATTCTGGGTTAGGGGTTAACATTCTGGGTTGGGGGTTAACATTCTGGGTTAGGGGTTAACATTCTGGGTTAGGGGTTAACATTCTGGGTTAGGGGTTAACATTCTGGGAACTTGTGTATATTTCTCAGAATTTTGGAAATGTTTAGATAAAAGACAGGACCTTGCAAAGTACATGCAGGTTCATGTGCATATTCATTTATATCAAAAACACAACAAGAATACGAATGTCAATAACCTATATTTATGTGTCTTGATTTTTGTAATATTTGCTTTTGTCTTGAATTCTAACTTCTCTTTCCGTATCTATATCATGCTCAAAAGCACCCACGCATATTCCTAACATGAGAAACGACATGATTTGCCTCAAAAATAGGTTTTCCAGTAATTATCCACATGTGTTTTTTAAAGCGGAGTACTTTCTCTCCAGGGTCTGGGGATAATCAGAGGTTATTTCGGCACCTGATGTCGTACACAGGGCTGCGCAGGTCATGTGATCCGTGGGCGAAGGCGCAGTGCGACCCGTTTTTACTGCAGTGGCCCTTGGAGTCCGTCTCGTGGATACAGGAGCCGGTTTTATAATATCGGAGGTGATATCTGCGCTCTGTGTCGCCCGCCGTCCGGTGCAGAAACGGGCATCTGGAGGACAGGAAGCAAAGAAACACCACATGGACTTTAACAGAGAAGAAGACCTTTAAGGGGAATAATGGACAGAATATATATGTTCATATAACACAGTATTCATGTGTTAATAAGAACCCAATTTTCCAATAAATTCAGTCAATTCAAGTTGGAAACATTTTCAAACAAATCTAAGTTGATAATAAAAAAGCCCAATAACTTATTTTCATAACAAGCTTGAAATAAAAAATGTAATTTAAAAAGAAATAGTAACAAAAAGAGGTTATATTAAAGGTCACCCATCATGCTATCTTTAGGCAACAGCAGAGGTCTCAGATATATACAGATATATAAAACATGTCTGAAGTGTTTTGCTCCAAACACCAAACAGATCATTCTAGCCATGCCTCATATCCCTCTATTTCACTTCCTGTTTCTAAAGTGCTGATTTGGGGATAAAGCTTTAAAGAGGAGGGTCTGAGCTCGTGCGGGACCCGGCAGCTACTGTCTAAACTAAATGCTGCCGTGATGAAACTCCATATCATGGATTATCAAGGATTCTCTCTGAAACAGTCTGGAGCTCAAAGGCTTTCTCTCTTGCCGGTTATACCACAAGGTGAGTTCCTTTTTACTTCCTGCTTCTTCACACACATGCTCTCCAGTACAGGTTAGCTCTGAGTGTTAGCATGCTAATGTAAACACCGACCATATTACGTCCAGAACAGTCGTGCATTGTTTCTGATAGCAACGTTTCTGATTGGGCCGTGGGTCCACATTTCAGATATTAAGTCATATCGACGCAAATCTGGATCAGCTCCGTTGTTCCCCGTTTTTAGAGATTTGGGTACGGAGGAAAAGAGAGAGGGTTTTATTTCCTGACGCTGCGTGAGTTCCCTGACACACCAGGGACGCACCGGGGACACACCAGGGACGCCGGCGGGGACACACCAGGGACGCACCGGGGACACACCGGGGACGCACCGGGGACACACCAGGGACGCACCGGGGACGCACCGGGGACACAGCGGGGACACACCGGGGACACACCGGGGACACACCGGGGACACACCGGGGACACACCGGGGACACACCGGGGACACACGGTGATGTATACAAGACATCAGAAAGTTCATTTTGCATGATAGGAGACCTTTAATGGGGTTTTAATATAGATTTGCAGTCATTTCAAGAAAGCGACGTGAGGGACTGAATTACTTTCGTTATGGTGAAGATTTTTTAGTTTTCCTTGCACAGAAGAGGAATTAAAAAAACACTGAATAATGCAAATGAATTGCATCCAAACATTGGCCATCAGACAAAGCATTACTCCAAACATTGATATAGTGACTCATAGGGGTGTAACGGTACACGTACCGAAATGATTCGGTACGGGCCCTTCGGTTCGGTACACGTGTGTACCGAAGTGTACCGAACGAATATAACGTTAAACGTAAAAAAATTGAGAACGTGAACAACTTCTTGGAAGTAATCTCAGGTGCAGCGTCGCAGCATTCAGAGTAATTTGCTCACATTGGGTTCAACGCGTCATAGAGCGAGCAAGTCATTTCATTGGACGAGAGGCATACTATGAGAGCTGGTCAGAGGGATGCGTTCAAATGTAGTCAGTAATTTGAGGAACTGTCGAAATGGCGAACGCAGATAAAGTTGAGCTAGAAAATCCTCCAGCATCATTGAAGTCTCCGGTTTGGGAACATTTTGGTTTCGCAGTTACGTACAAGGATGACGGACAAAGACAGGTGGACCGAACCAAAAGCTGTTTGTCGGCATTGTTTCAACTAACATTGGTTGCGCGGCTGGCAATACATCAAACTTGCACACTCTTGAAAAGGCATCACCCGAACGTGAATATCACCGGTACCAAAAGAAAAAAGACTGAAGTGCAAACCCAACTCCCACTAGCATGTAAACCTCCACCACTCGCAGAAAGTTCAGACCGAGCCAAAGCTATTACAAAGCTGTATTACAAGCTATGTTGCCATGTTAGCAAAGCGCTACCTGGCTGTATCGGCTACCTCTGTCCCTAGAGAGAGGGTTTTCTCCACAGCAGGAGACATTGTTAGTGCCAGCAGATCTGCCCTTTCGGCAAGCAATGTGGACAAGTTCATCTTTCTTTAAACAACATGAAAATACAATGACAAGCAAGTCCTAATGTCAAGCTGGCTGCTTAGGTACTAGCACAGTAAAGTTCAAATACAGATTATTTCAGTTCATCGAAATGCTGCACCTTAATGTTCATTTTATTATATTTTGTATTTATTTGAGTGAATATTCACAGTTTAATAATAAGAATAAAAAAATATATATATATGTTTTGTTTTGTGAAAAAAAATTCTGCTGTACCGAAAACGTACCGAACCGAACCGTGACCAAAAAACCGAGGTACGTACCGAACCGAAATGTTTGTGAACCGTTACACCCCTAATGACTCAGAGTCTTTGCATCCCAAACACACAAGCAGTGTTCAAAATACTTCCTAACTAAGGGTTTTCAGAATGTTTTCAAATGTTCCCGTAGCTCTTTGATGAGCGGCTCATTAGCAAAACAAAAACATCCAAGTCTGACCCATCAGCTCCACATTGACATCCCTCTACGTCTGTGAAAGCCCGAGAAGAGCTGGACGTGTCTGTCAGTACGTTCAGATGCTAACGGTGGAGATTATGCATACGGCTCGTTTCTCTACAACTCGACATAGCATTGTGTGTAAAGGGTGTTTCCTCCTCTATCAACACTTCACTGTCCGTCACATTACCCGGTGCTTTGTCATGCATTTGAACAACACAAGATACAGCAGGATTTAAATATCAAAAGCTTTAGAGAGGAGATACCGGCAAGAAGCTTTTTCAACCCTCAGCCACAAAAGAGCTAGATGATGTTCTCTAACCAAGTCATTCCTTTAAACCCACTGCAAAAAGAGCCGGTGTGTTTGATCACATGTAAGTGTGCCATCAATGATACCAGAAAGTGCCATAAAGCACAGTAAAGTCGCCCTCAGTGATTAATGATACCTAAATGCATTGAGCTATTTCTGACCTAGATATTCAGCATTATTTTTGATCTGCGTTGCTTTGTGTTTACGGATCTCTTCTCACATCCCCAAAGTATTATTCTCCTAGAGGCTTCATTGTTTATAAACTTCAACCGTTTTAATAAATCACATTTTTTATTTATATTATGCCCCTTGTTGCACTTTGAGATTACTTTTAGCAATGAATCGTGCTTTGCAAATAAAATGTATTATTATAAACGTGACATGCAACAACACTCAGACACTAATACATTCTCAAAGATATTGAAGTGACTGTTATTTTGTATATTGATTGTTGTGTCTTAATGTGTGCATATGTGTCTGTTGATTGTGTATATCTACAGACAGGGTGTCTGCAGGAATCCTGAAGTCACATGTAAAACCTTTTAAGATCTTTCTTAAGACCCTTTCCAGACATGACAAGACCTCATCGCCACTTCGGAGTTTTAACCGGTTACCTTGGCGACACACTTTACCTCACATTGACTATATACGGTATTGATTGTCCTTCCTCCTTATCTTCCAACCATTTGGACGCAGACTTGCATTTCACCATAAACGATGTTGCTTAGCAACCGGCGTAAACGGGCCTCCGCGCTATCAAGCAGTGAGCGCGCGATGTCCTGTTCAGATGACGTCAAACCCAACGGGATGCCATCAATAAACTACACAGAATCACACTACACACCTACGCCATGATTACATTCAGGCAGACTGTAGAACACAACCTCTTTGGACCATTCATATACTTATTGAAAACAAGCTACAACATGTAATACCTTGGAAAATGCCCTTTAAGAGCCTTCATTTTCGCTAAATTGATTGATCATCTTGTAATACTTTAAGACCCCGCGGACCCCCTGAAATAGGTATATACATATTTTTATATATATTTGTTTTTGTATTCTGGGAAACGGTATTCTGTCTGTAAACACAAACTGAAAGATTGACAATAAAGTTAACTTTGGTTCCACTTCGCTGCTCTTAACTTTGATCGGTGCAAAACAACAATGTGTTTATCTGTTTGAACTGTTGGACCAAGGGTTATGTGACGTGTAAAGCTTCATTAAGGCTCCGATAACCAAACAGGATGTGATATCTCAGCTTCACTCACTCGTCTCCATCGGGGCAGGTTCCCGTCCCCTCGTCGTATTTGGTGCAGTAAACGTCGGGGCTGTAGGTGAACGTCCCGTCTCGGCGGCGCATGGGTCTGCGGCGCCGCTGGTTCAGGAAGTGCCAGTGGAAACAGGAGAAGGGACGGTGCTGCGTGCATTTGTGCTGAACGAACAGAGGGCACTGCTCCGTCCTGAACTCCTTCAGATACCTGGAGGGGGGGGGGACTCAGTCAAGATTCAAGGCTTTGTTGTCATTCGTACATTAGCTGCAGAGTAGTTATGTCGGTGACAATCTGATATCACAGGCTCCTCCAACAGAGCGACACAATCAAACAGATCGTGCAAGTAAATACAGTCAAGTAGAAAGGAGTGCCATGAGAGTCTATACAAGTGATACATCATTTGTAAGTTAGTTATTAACAGGTGAGTGTCATGCTCCGTCCTGAACTCCTTCAGATACCTGGAGGCAGGAACTCAGTCACTCAGAATACTTGATTTGAGTTTTGTAGGACACCAAAAAAGTCCTAGAAAGACAAGGTGAACTAATGTGCATTTAAAAAAGAGGAATAGTTTCGGCGAAAACTAAAAAGGTACGTGGGGTCGGAGTTTTCCAAAGGCGGGTTCGTTTTGCACGAAACACTTGAAATAAGTGTTAAACAAGAAGAAAGGAAGTGAGGTGCTAAACAGTGAGCGATGATTGAGTCAGAGCTCACACGGCTCTGTCACTTTCATTCATAAACCTTTGCTTTTAAATGAGTGTTTTTTAAATGCCATTCCATAATATGTTTCTTCATGTCTTTCTTGTTTGTAAAGCACTTTGAAGTGCCTTGTGTTGAAAGGTGCTGTATAAATAAACTTGCCTTGTTTGATAACCGTTAGAATACATTTAAATATATTCAAGATTGTTCTAGTACGGCCGATTTCAGATTATTACATTTGAATATCATAAGTAAATGCATTAGTGTTGATGTTTACTGACTTGTTATACTGCTCGGTAGCTTAATCTGTAATAATGCATACTGATTTAAGGGTTGATTTGTATTCTGTATTATCGATCAATACATGCAAAGAAGCTCGTAACTCACTTTGTAAAAACAAACAAGGTAAGAATTGCCTCCAACATGTAGTGAGTTACATCCCACCACAATGAGACATACTTATACATAAATCAAGCTTGTAATAAACAGCTGTTGAGTAACGTCAGGCCTCTGAATCGAGCCCTGCCCCCATTCAAAAACACATTAACCCGAAATAAGCTTTGTTAAGTCATATTAAACAATACAAAGTGTATTAATGGATCTTTTAATATTTCTAATAGTGAAAGAAAACACTGCAAGAGACCACTTGGTGCAAGTAGCGTGCAGGGCTAAGAATACTAACTAACAACTATGCAAAACAATGGAGATTAAAGTAAACATATGCACATTTGTGTACAATATATAGCAATAAACATGTACAATTAGTATATTTCGATATACAGTGGTGTACAGTCTTATTAAAGATATGCTCAAAGAGATGCTAGGAATGTAGTAATGTATTCATGTATAAGAAGTATCTATACCATTCAAAGATGTATTCAGATTGAACCTCAGTGAAGTTAAAGTGATTTAATTAACTGTATGCTGCAATTAGACACATGTATAAATGAAGAACTTAAATAAAAGGCTAGTGAGTAACGTCAGGCCTCTGAATGCAGCCCTGTCCCCTTTAACCCTCAATTAGCTTGATCACATCATTTAAAACAACATAACGTTTAGAAATGACTGTGTTTTTATTAGTTAACACACTTTAACTGCTGCTGTGTGTTTGTTTCCACACGTGATGTTGTGTACACTCTGTGCTAACGTGCTAACATGCTAACTAGCTACGTACGTGTAATGTTGAGGTTTCTCGGGCTGAACGTTCATCACCGTGGCGGGAGATGTGGACCCTCCAGCCGGGGAGGAAGAAGAGGAAGAGGAGGGTCCTCCGGTAGTCGTGACTATCGAACACGGCGGGTGTGTTTTGGACATTTTAAACCGTTGTTAAGTCCGACAACAAGAAGCTTGTTTTTAGCTTTACTAGCTAGCTACTCGTAGTAGCTTTGAAATCCGCATTCTACGAGCATGTGCGCATGCGCGAGGTAGGTAGAAAAATAGAGCGCGGAATTGTTGGAAATGGAGTTCAGTCATTTACAAACCTTAAAGGCTCTTATTTTCAGTCAATAATATTACATGGTGCAAATAAAAACGAAGTTACTGAACGTTATTGGTGTCTTAGACTTAGTTTGACCCCTTGGGTATTTTATTTTGGGGTTTTATGTCTTTATTTTAGGTTATAATGTTATATTTAAATGTATTTGTTTTAAATGTGTGTGCTCGTTTTTTTTAATAAAAAGCTGCTTTTGATGATGTACTGCTTGTCAAATATGTTTGGAGATTTTCTAATATGATAAAAAAGGAAATAAATAAATGTGTAACTTAACTTTTTTTCTTCACTTTATTGTTTGTACCCATGGACAATGGAAAACAATGACAAAAAAGCTGACAAATAAGGAACAAAACAGCCAAACACACATACAAATACATTATTTTCAAAAAAATAAACCGTCCAGTCCAGTGTGTGGCGCTAATGCACCTCTAAGCTAACCATCAACAAACACCAAAGAAGAAGAAAAACAACCAATGAGCGTTTAATATTTATAAGCATGACGTCATGACACAGTATATAAACCAGGCTCTCAACCCCCATTATCACATCACAATTCGTTCTTCCCACGGAGGCTGAAACACTCACGGATAGATCTCCATTTAAAGCGACTCCCTAAAGGTAATATATACATACTTTTAAAAACCTAGAAGACGTTATTTATTACATTGTTAATATTGTGAGGTTTTATCTGGGTTTATTCAAGGTGTTGTTGTTTTAAATATGCTAACATGGCGGGCTGCTAACGTTAGCTCCAAAAATTGAACAATGGAATATTTAACCGATGACGTTTCTGTTTAAAAGTCGCCGTTGGCTCGTTCAGTTAGATATTTAAAATGTTAACAAGAGGGGCGATTTAAGAATTGATGTTGGTTATTCACATCGAAATATGGGCAATAGTGAGCTGTAAGCTAATTGTTTAAGCTAATGTTTTTGAGTTGAGCTAATGTCGTCTGAGGGTGAAAACGGTTAAAATGGCGAAGAGGAAAAGGCGAAAGCGCTTTGGATCGAGTAGTACAGAAACTGGAGTGCTTTAACGCGACTGTAGCTGATCCCATGGTCTCTGTGGGCCTCTCAATCGAGAAATGTATTCTACAAATGTTTAATGGCGCCAATTGTGTAGTATAAACGTGATTATTCTCCCAGAAATCCAGTATTATTGTGCCCTTTTTAGACCTTGTAGTTTAAATTAAACCAGACTCCTCCCAGTGAAACCTGGGGGGAGGGGAGCTGTCTCAGCTTGGATGCTAGGCTAGCTTAGCTTCCAATCAAAACAGGATAGACGAGGTTTGTTCTGCAATCGCTAAGTTCATTTAAAGTTGTTTTTACCCTTTTTTTTGCTACCATATAAAAGCCAATATTATAGAAATGATTGCTTTGTTTGAGAATTTTGAAATTGATGCTTTATATTTGAAAATGTTTAGCTACTCCTCTGTATCTTTATTCATTTTAGTTTATTTACTGAGGATGTTTACGGATTTATATATTGTTACATGTTGTTTTATTTGTATTTTATAAGTAATTCCCAAATAATTACTGCCAAAATTCTGCTCTGACAAATTAAGTTCCCAACATGGGTTAGAGATTTAGTCTCATAACTGATATTTAAATGTATGTATATTTGTAACTAACTTGGTGTTAATCATGTCTTTTCTTTGTGTTTTTAGTCATACGAAATGGCACGTACCAAGCAGACCGCCCGTAAATCCACTGGAGGAAAAGCTCCCAGGAAGCAGCTCGCCACCAAGGCTGCGAGGAAGAGCGCCCCGTCTACAGGAGGCGTGAAGAAGCCCCATCGTTACAGGTATGTAATACATAAGGCTGGTGCTATGATAATTAGGGTGGTCCTTAACATTGAAAGTGGGAAAGTCTAAGCTCCAACTCCCAGAATTCATTCTATTAGTCAAGAAAAATCTCCTGGTGAATGTTTTCCTCAATCTCACAACATGTAACCCCCCCTCATCGACCTTGAAGTTTACCCTCAGTTGTAGCTGCTGGTTTGGCAGTCCAGGTCGATGGGGGGGGGGGACATGTTGTTAGATTGAGGAACAAATTCACCAGGAGAGTTTTCTTGCCTAATAGAATGAATTTTGGGGATTGGAGCTTAAAATAAATGAATTCGAAATTGACATGGCACTAAGGACCACCCTAAATGTTAATATACAAATCAAGATGGCAGTTTTAGCCGGAGGTCATCGGTCTGTCTTCACTGCTAGACTCCAGCTTTGGGAACTAACTTAGTTTTGTACTTTAATAATTTTTTTTGACATATGTGTACTTGAGTATTTAGATTTAGTGCCAGTTTAAATGTTTCAAATGCACACTATACTTCGCCTCGGCTACATGTATAGTTTCTACACATAAATACATATGATACGGTATAATGAAGTACTGTACTACTTGTATACACAGTATTTAAAGGGTAATTTGTTCCTCATTTATTAAAATCTAATAATAATTACTGATAAAATATCCACTTTGCATTCCTTTTACTTTTGCTACAGGAAGTACATTTAGCCGGTGATACAATGACTGCTTTATATCCTTCTGAAATGTTGTGCGTTTTGAAGAACGGCTACTTGTTGTACCATTTGACGCTTTTACTTTAACTCCAGTAACATTTGGCATCACGACTGACTTGAGCCTTTTTAAGTGTACCCGAGTAAATGACCCGAGTACAACAGCAGTCTTATAACATAGTGGACGTTAGCAAGAGTTACAAGTAATGTGTTTGTTTCAGGCCCGGTACCGTGGCTCTGAGGGAGATCCGTCGTTACCAGAAGTCGACGGAGCTGCTGATCCGAAAGCTTCCCTTCCAGCGCCTGGTGAGAGAAATCGCTCAGGACTTCAAGACCGACCTGCGCTTCCAGAGCGCCGCCATCGGAGCTCTTCAGGTAAATAACAGCTGGAGGTTTAGTCTTTGCTCTGTTGTCGTGGAGGTAGAATGATTTATTGGGCAATTGAAGTGATTTTAATCTGCTCACTGATTAGTTGCTCTTGTATCACAACACTAAGCGACTACTACGCTAATGTACTTATTACATCATTTACTAAAAGGGCTCGCAATGTTATTTTAATGGCTTATCGTTTTCATTTTATTACCAAGATATAGGATTTTTTTTTAAATAGCCATTTAGGAATACAAATATTTTATTTGAATCCACGAGTTGTGCACTGTTTTGCTACACAGCTTAACAAGGCTCTGAATGAAGTTTAAAAGCCCTGAAGTTAAGGTTTTTGATTATTTTTAGATAAATAAAAGAAACTGGAGTTTCGGGTTGTTGACTAGCCGAATGAAGGGAAACCTCGTAAACAAAGCAGATAATTGCAGTGGTAAAGGCGAAGTCCCGCCCTTCTACTTCCGCTCCATGGGACCTTATTTCGGAAAAGTATGTATTGAAGTCAATGGGGAGAGAAAGATTATCTTTCGATCCCGTTTGTATTGTGCCACGAATTACATATATGATGATTGTCGATCTTAACTAATAATTTCCAAGTCAAAAAGTCACAGTTTGTCGTAAAACTGTTGAAATATAAGACTATGAAAAATACTCAACTAGAAAGACTACAAATCCCAGAGTCCCGGTCCCGCATGCTGGCTCTCACGGAACCGACTAACTCCCCCTCCCGCTCTCAACGTGCCCAGACTTGGAGTGATTTTCACTTCTTTTAATACTTTCTACCTCATTCTGAAAGAAGTGAAATGTTTCAACGTAACGGCCGTCTTGGTGTTGGTGCGAGACGGGAGATGTAGTTCATCGGTTTCACACTAAAATGTTACTTCACAGTTTTACGACACGTAAAAAAAATTGACTGGAAAAATGATCTTTTACATTGACAAACATCATGTGTGTTCATGGCACAATTACAAGATAATCTTTGACTTCAATCCATAGTGTTCCTGAAGGTCCCATGGAGCTCCCCGGAGGTGCCTCTGCCGCTCTCTGAACACTCTGACCTGTATTTCTATGAAACTAATGTCTGCATTGTCTTCCAACAGGAGGCCAGCGAGGCGTACCTGGTGGGTCTCTTCGAGGACACCAACCTGTGTGCGATCCACGCCAAGCGGGTCACCATCATGCCCAAAGACATCCAGCTGGCCCGCAGGATAAGAGGCGAGAGAGCCTGAGCAGCCGAGACGCACCTGGCGCTATTTATCTTAACATTATCGTGGACTTTTTATTTCTTGGGTCTTTTTTTTTTTACAAGGTTGACATTTTTGTATTTTAGATTCGTGACAATTCAAGAAATCATTCCACGAGGTCTCTTAGGGTAGTTGGAGACGTGTTGTGCAGTAGGAGTGTTTCACCTATTCCATCATGTAGTCGCTTTGCCAGCTGAGTCATACGGGCCTCCAGCACCTCGACACTACCGAATGCTAACTTTCATATGTCGGGCAATCGGCAAACAATAGTTTAAAAATGGCTTAGCTGGTTTGGACAGTTATGAATCGATTTCTGACATTCAGGATCACAAAAGGCAGAGCGTGGTTGGGTTTTGGGTCGCCTTAAGGGACTCCAATGCCACGCTTCGATTCAAAATGTGTCAGAATCCAGAATACGCCCAGCAACCTGAAATCGTCCCAATCGGCCGACTGTTTTGCTATCGTCTGCGTAAGCAAGTTATTATGTGGCATGTTTCGATGTGCTGGCGACCCGTCCTGTACATTTCTAACATGACTTCTTCACCATCTCCCGGTTCACTGCTGGCATTTAGACGAATGGATCATTTCTGCGTTTCACCGCCATCTCTCGGTCCTCTGTGGGCTTCAGGCTCCCGCTCTGAGGCCGGGGGAACATCTTCTTCCATGGGGGGGGTTCAGGGTCTCTCCATCAAACACCAGTGTGTCCTATGTGAGGACAACAGACCCCCCCCCCTCTTCTTCGGACTGCTTTTTATGTGTTTTTCCAACATCAAATCTCGGCAGCTACATTTAATATTTATGAAAGTGTTGTCGCATGTCTTTCTATTAAAGGTCTTTATGAGTAGAACGCCTGGTGTCGTGGGTTTCAGTCAATAAGAAGTGTTTTATACATTACTTTTATTTACAACAAGAGGTAGGAGCTGTCATACAAACCACTCGGTGTGTTTGAACCCAGTCGCTGGAGGGGAAGAAATGAGGGGTTTTAGTCTTGACTTTGCTCATTAGCTCCAGGGTAGACATGTGATGGAAAACTTAGGGTCCCCTTTTATATCGAGTCGACTGACAAACCCAATGCATTACCATCAAGTGATGAATTGAATACATAACCGCAGGGAAACTACAACATTCAAATACTTGATGGATCGTTTCAGGAAGTTTATGATAAATGACTTCTGTGAAAAATATGCCACAGATTCTTAGTGTTATAATAAAATTGTGTTAAATATTCAATCCTTCAATAGACTTTGTTTTTGTTGCAGGAGGCCGTTTATAACGGGTCATTATCTTAGCATCTTTCCTCAGTTATTGCACTAGTGTTTATCGGCATATTTTTCATAATGGAGGAGAATAGTTCAAACACATAGTTGTACTTAACATTTAGCTTTTTTTTTACTTGGAACGTCTTGTTATGGTACATTTGATCAGTTATCATAAATGTCACATGGTGATAAAAGGTCCCTGAAGTGGACACTCACCTATTCGACACACCATGTCCTCACACTCCCTGATGCTCTGGGCCCTGAACGCCACACAGCAGAAGCCCGTCGACAGGGGGGTTTCTGGGGAGTCTCTGTGGAAACAGCCAATCAAGGTATTTGTGTTCAACATGTGAGAAGTAGAAAGTACAGGTATTTGAGTTCAACATGTAAGAAGTAGAAAGTACAGGTATTTGTGTTCAACATGTAAGAAGTAGAAAGTACAGGTATTTGAGTTCAACATGTAAGAAGTAGAAAGTACAGGTATTTGTGTTCAACATGTGAGAAGTAGAAAGTACAGGTATTTGTGTTCAACATGTGAGAAGTAGAAAGTACAGGTATTTGGGTTCAACATGTGAGAAGTAGAAAGTACAGGTATTTGTGTTCAACATGTAAGAAGTAGAAAGTACAGGTATTTGAGTTCAACATGTAAGAAGTAGAAAGTACAGGTATTTGAGTTCAACATGTAAGAAGTAGAAAGTACAGGTATTTGGGTTCAACATGTAAGAAGTAGAAAGTACAGGTATTTGAGTTCAACATGTAAGAAGTAGAAAGTACAGGTATTTGTGTTCAACATGTAAGAAGTAGAAAGTTCAGGTATTTGAGTTCAACATGTAAGAAGTAGAAAGTACAGGTATTTGAGTTCAACATGTAAGAAGTAGAAAGTACAGGTATTTGAGTTCAACATGTAAGAAGTAGAAAGTACAGGTATTTGAGTTCAACATGTAAGAAGTAGAAAGTACAGGTATTTGAGTTCAACATGTAAGAAGTAGAAAGTACAGGTATTTGAGTTCAACATGTAAGAAGTAGAAAGTACAGGTATTTGAGTTCAACATGTGAGAAGTAGAAAGTACAGGTATTTGAGTTCAACATGTTAGAAGTAGAAAGTACAGGTATTTGAGTTCAACATGTGAGAAGTAGAAAGTACAGGTATTTGAGTTCAACATGTAAGAAGTAGAAAGTACAGGTATTTGTGTTCAACATGTGAGAAGTAGAAAGTACAGGTATTTGAGTTCAACATGTAAGAAGTAGAAAGTACAGGTATTTGTGTTCAACATGTAAGAAGTAGAAAGTACAGGTATTTGGGTTCAACATGTAAGAAGTAGAAAGTACAGGTATTTGTGTTCAACATGTAAGAAGTAGAAAGTACAGGTATTTGTGTTCAACATGTAAGAAGTAGAAAGTACAGGTATTTGAGTTCAACATGTAAGAAGTAGAAAGTACAGGTATTTGAGTTCAACATGTGAGAAGTAGAAAGTACAGGTATTTGAGTTCAACATGTGAGAAGTAGAAAGTACAGGTATTTGAGTTCAACATGTTAGAAGTAGAAAGTACAGGTATTTGAGTTCAACATGTGAGAAGTAGAAAGTACAGGTATTTGAGTTCAACATGTAAGAAGTAGAAAGTACAGGTATTTGAGTTCAACATGTAAGAAGTAGAAAGTACAGGTATTTGAGTTCAACATGTGAGAAGTAGAAAGTACAGGTATTTGAGTTCAACATGTAAGAAGTAGAAAGTACAGGTATTTGTGTTCAACATGTGAGAAGTAGAAAGTACAGGTATTTGAGTTCAACATGTGAGAAGTAGAAAGTACAGGTATTTGTGTTCAACATGTATGAAGTAGAAAGTACAGGTATTTGTGTTCAACATGTAGAAGTAGAAAGTACAGGTATTTGAGTTCAACATGTGAGAAGTAGAAAGTACAGGTATTTGAGTTCAACATGTAAGAAGTAGAAAGTACAGGTATTTGAGTTCAACATGTGAGAAGTAGAAAGTACAGGTATTTGAGTTCAACATGTGAGAAGTAGAAAGTACAGGTATTTGAGTTCAACATGTAAGAAGTAGAAAGTACAGGTATTTGAGTTCACATGTAAGAAGTAGAAAGTACAGGTATTTGAGTTCAACATGTGAGAAGTAGAAAGTACAGGTATTTGTGTTCAACATGTAGAAGTAGAAAGTACAGGTATTTGTGTTCAACATGTAGAAGTAGAAAGTACAGGTATTTGGGTTCAACATGTAGAAGTAGAAAGTACAGGTATTTGGGTTCAACATGTGAGAAGTAGAAAGTACAGGTATTTGGGTTCAACATGTGAGAAGTAGAAAGTACAGGTATTTGGGTTCAACATGTAAGAAGTAGAAAGTACAGGTATTTGGGTTCAACATGTGAGAAGTAGAAAGTACAGGTATTTGAGTTCAACATGTAAGAAGTAGAAAGTACAGGTATTTGAGTTCAACATGTGAGAAGTAGAAAGTACAGGTATTTGGGTTCAACATGTGAGAAGTAGAAAGTACAGGTATTTGAGTTCAACATGTAAGAAGTAGAAAGTACAGGTATTTGGGTTCAACATGTGAGAAGTAGAAAGTACAGGTATTTGAGTTCAACATGTAAGAAGTAGAAAGTACAGGTATTTGAGTTCAACATGTGAGAAGTAGAAAGTACAGGTATTTGGGTTCAACATGTAAGAAGTAGAAAGTACAGGTATTTGAGTTCAACATGTAAGAAGTAGAAAGTACAGGTATTTGGGTTCAACATGAGAGAAGTAGAAAGTACAGGTATTTGTGTTCAACATGAGAGAAGTAGAAAGTACAGGTATTTGTGTTCAACATGTGAGAAGTAGAAAGTACAGGTATTTGTGTTCAACATGAGAGAAGTAGAAAGTACAGGTATTTGAGTTCAACATGTAAGAAGTAGAAAGTACAGGTATTTGGGTTCAACATGTGAGAAGTAGAAAGTACAGGTATTTGAGTTCAACATGTGAGAAGTAGAAAGTACAGGTATTTGGGTTCAACATGTAAGAAGTAGAAAGTACAGGTATTTGAGTTCAACATGTGAGAAGTAGAAAGTACAGGTATTTGGGTTCAACATGTAAGAAGTATAAAGTACAGGTATTTGAGTTCAACATGTGAGAAGTAGAAAGTACAGGTATTTGGGTTCAACATGTAAGAAGTAGAAAGTACAGGTATTTGAGTTCAACATGTAAGAAGTAGAAAGTACAGGTATTTGAGTTCAACATGTAAGAAGTAGAAAGTACAGGTATTTGAGTTCAACATGTAAGAAGTATAAAGTACAGGTATTTGTGTTCAACATGTAGAAGTAGAAAGTACAGGTATTTGTGTTCAACGTGTAAGAAGTAGAAAGTACAGGTATTTGAGTTCAACATGTAAGAAGTATAAAGTACAGGTATTTGTGTTCAACATGTAGAAGTAGAAAGTACAGGTATTTGAGTTCAACATGTAAGAAGTAGAAAGTACAGGTATTTGAGTTCAACATGTAAGAAGTATAAAGTACAGGTATTTGTGTTCAACATGTAAGAAGTAGAAAGTACAGGTATTTGAGTTCAACATGTAAGAAGTAGAAAGTACAGGTATTTGAGTTCAACATGTAGAAGTAGAAAGTACAGGTATTTGAGTTCAACATGTGAGAAGTAGAAAGTACAGGTATTTGTGTTCAACATGTAAGAAGTAGAAAGTACAGGTATTTTAGTTCAACATGTAAGAAGTAGAAAGTACAGGTATTTGAGTTCAACATGTAAGAAGTAGAACGTACAGGTATTTGTGTTCAACATGTAGAAGTAGAAAGTACAGGTATTTGTGTTCAACATGTAAGAAGTAGAAAGTACAGGTATTTGTGCTTCAACATGTAAGAAGTGAAAGTACAGGTATTTGAGTTCAACATGTAAGAAGTAGAAAGTACAGGTCATTGGGTTCAACATGTAAGAAGTAGAAAGTACAGGTATTTGGGTTCAACATGTAAGAAGTAGAAAGTACAGGTATTTGAGTTCAACATGTAAGAAGTAGAAAGTACAGGTATTTGAGTTCAACATGTAAGAAGTAGAAAGTACAGGTATTTGAGTTTAACATGTAAGAAGTAGAAAGTACAGGTATTTGAGTTCAACATGTAAGAAGTAGAAGAAAGAGAAAGTACAGGTATTTGAGTTCACCATGTAGAAAGTACAGGTATTTTAGTTTCAACATGTAAGAAGTAGAAAGTACAGGTATTTGTGTTCAACATGTAAGAAGTAGAAAGTACAGGTATTTGAGTTCAACATGTAAGAAGTAGAAAGTACAGGTATTTGAGTTCAACATGTAAGAAGTAGAAAGTACAGGTATTTGTGTTCAACATGTAAGAGGTAGGAGAAGTACAGGTATTTGGGTTCAACATGTAAGAAGTAGAAAGTAAGGTATTTGTGTTCAACATGTAAGAGGTAGAAAGTACAGGTATTTGTGTTCAACATGTAGAAGTAGAAAGTACAGGTATTTGAGTTCAACATGTAAGAAGTAGAAAGTACAGGTATTTGTGTTCAACATGTAAGAGGTAGAAAGTACAGGTATTTGGGTTCAACATGTAAGAAGTAGAAAGTACAGGTATTTGAGTTCAACATGTAAGAAGTAGAAAGTACAGGTATTTGTGTTCACATGTAGGAAGTAGAAAAGTACAGGTATTTGGGTTCAACATGTAAGAAGTAGAAAGTACAGGTATTTGAGTTTCAACATGTAAGAAGTAGAAAGTACAGGTATTTGTGTTTCAACATGTAGAAGTAGAAAGTACAGGTATTTTGTGTTCAACATGTAAGAAGTAGAAAGTACAGGTATTTGAGTTCAACATGTAAGAAGTAGAAAGTACAGGTATTTGAGTTCAACATGTAAGAAGTAGAAAGTACAGGTATTTGTGTTCAACATGTAAGAAGTAGAAAGTACAGGTATTTGAGTTCAACATGTAAGAAGTAGAAAGTACAGGTATTTGAGTTCAACATGTAAGAAGTAGAAAGTACAGGTATTTGAGTTCAACATGTAAGAAGTAGAAAGTACAGGTATTTGTGTTCAACATGTAGAAAGTACAGGTATTTTAGTTCAACATGTAAGAAGTAGAAAGTACAGGTATTTGAGTTCAACATGTAAGAAAGTAGAAAAGTACAGGTATTTGAGTTCAACATGTAAGAAGTAGAAAGTACAGGTATTTGTGTTTCAACATGTAAGAGTAGAAAGTACAGGTATTTGAGTTCAACATGTAAGAAGTAGAAAGTACAGGTATTGTGTTCAACATGTAAGAAGTAGAAAGTACAGGTATTGTGTTCAACATGTGAGAAGTAGACAGTAATTTGAGTTCAACATGTAGAAGTAGAAAGTACAGGTATTTGTGTTCAACATGTAAGAAGTAGAAAGTACAGGTATTTGAGTTCAACATGTAAGAAGTAGAAAGTACAGTATTTGAGTTCAACATGGTAAGAAGTAGAAAGTAACAAGGTATTTGTAGTTCAACATGTAAGAATAGAAAGTACAGGTAAATTTGTGTTCAACAGGTAAGAAGTAGAAAGTACAGGTATTTGTGTCAACATGTAAAGAATGTAGGAAAGTACAGGTATTTGAGTTCAACATGTGAGAAGTAGAAAAGTACAGTATTTGAGTTGAACATGTAAGAAGTAAGAAAGTACAGGTATTTGTGTTCAACATGTAGACGTAGAAAGGACAGGTATTTGTGTTCAACATGTAAAGAAGTAGAAAGTACAAGGTATTTGGGTTCAACATGTAAGAAGTAGAAAGTACAGGTATTGGTGGTTCAACATGTAGAAAGTACAGGTAGTTGGGTTCAACATGTAGAAAGTAACAGGTATTTGAGTTCAAACATGTAAGAAGTAGAAAGTACAGGTATTTGTGTTCAACATGTAGAAAGTAGCAGGTATTTGTGTTCAACATGTAGAAAGACAAGGTATTTGTGTTCAACATGTAAGAAGTAGAAAGTACAGGTATTTGAGTTCAACATGTAAGAAGTAGAAAGTACAGGTATTTGAGTTCAACATGTAAGAAGTAGAAAGTACAGGTATTTGAGTTCAACATGTGAGAAGTAGAAAGTACAGGTATTTGAGTTCAACATGTATGAAGTAGAAAGTACAGGTATTGAGTTCAACATGTAAGAAGTAGAAAGTACAGGTATTTGAGTTCAACATGTAAGAAGTAGAAAGTACAGGTATTTGAGTTCAACATGTAAGAAGTAGAAAAGTACAGGTATTTGAGTTCAACATGTGAGAAGTAGAAAGTACAGGTATTTGAGTTCAACATGTGAGAAGTAGAAAGTACAGGTATTTGAGTTCAACATGTAAGAAGTAGAAAGTACAGGTATTTGTGTTCAACATGTGAGAAGTAGAAAGTACAGGTATTTGAGTTCAACATGTGAGAAGTAGAAAGTACAGGTATTTGAGTTCAACATGTAAGAAGTAGAAAGTACAGGTATTTGAGTTCAACATGTAAGAAGTAGAAAGTACAGGTATTTGAGTTCAACATGTGAGAAGTAGAAAGTACAGGTATTTGAGTTCAACATGTAAGAAGTAGAAAGTTCAGGTATTTGAGTTCAACATGTAAGAAGTAGTGAAGTTGTTAAATGTGAAACTTACGCCACGCAGAAAGCGAATACGGTGTAGTCCGGCTGACCGTATCGGCCCACACAGGAGATCTCTGGATAGTGATGCTCTAACAGCTCCTGGTGAAACATAAACGTGTGTTTAATGAACATTTAAATGCAAAAAAAACACTTTAAAAAAAGTGTAATAAGTGTAATAAACGTGCCACTTAGTGTATGCACAAATATGTAATTAACCACAGCTGGAAGGTGCTGGAAAACCTGGAAAGTGCTTGAAATGGTGCTTTGATTTGACCTGCATCCACTCACCTGTTTGCTGCCTCTGTCCGTGCACGTCAGGTGTGTTTCCTTCAGGTCTAAGAGCACTTCCTGTGGGATTCACTTTAATGAGCACGAGTTGATGATAAAACGCTTTATGAATCGGCAGTTGTCTCACCTTGCTCTGCTGGTGTTCCTGCAGCACCTGTGTGATGGCGTGCTGCAGGACCTCCTTCCCCCCGTGCTACGGGAACAAAGTAGAAGTTACAATATACAACAGACTGCATGAGAGATGTGTATTCAATCAGGATTGTTTACCATGCCGATGTTGGCTTTTCCCAAGAAATGCACAATGTACACAATCCTGTTGAAGAGAGGAGAGTTTCTTAAAGGGACAGTACACAATAACATCAAATCATTTACATGTTAATTAAAACTCAAAGAGGTCAAGTTAGAGAAAGTCTGCGAGCAGTTTAGTCAACGTCTGTACTTAGCCAACAACTGACTCTCCAAAAAGTCGAGTAGTGATAGATTACATTTAAGAATAGACAACTTCGTAAAAGTGTGAAGATGCTTGAAGTAGAAACGTCTCAACGGTTATAATTTTTTAAGGTTTTTTGGTTTCAGATTGAGATATCCAGATATTTTAGTCGAACTGTCCGTTAAAATCTTCCTGAGTAACTTTTGTTTGTTTTTTAACCCTGGCGCACTTGCCATCTCTTTTACTTATAATGAATTCCTGACTCAAACAATTGAACACAACCGTCTTTTCAGTCCGACAGACAGAAAATATTATATGATAATAGTTTGTGTAATATTTTTAGCATGGCAGTTTTATGGTTGATAAAATGTCAACATTGAAACGTAATCTGCTAGAGAAGGTAGAGGAGAAGGATAGTCCATCGTTTGGGGAAAGATATTTCTCCAATTTACTTTCATTCATTAATACTTGTTTCGTATTTTAGATCTTTCAGCAGAGCATGCCATGCCCTAGGTCACACGTGTCAAACTCGAGGCCCGGGGGCCAAATCAGGCCCTTGGTGGATTTAATTTCGGCCCGCAGGATAATTTCTAATTCCTATTAGATCTGGCCCGCCGGTATATTACACGCACACCTTCACTCCATCCTGAGGGTCTCCTCCGCTCAGAGCCTGAGCCCAAACATTGATGACCTTGCACCCGAGATGAGATGCCATGTATCTGAGCTAGCATCACAGAGCAGCACACTGAGTTTAATGGATGTTTCCTTCTGCACTTTCTCTCTCAGGACAACAGGGCATGTTTGGTTTGTTCTTTGAGGGGAATAGTTTTGTTGAAGCTGTTGTTGGCCTGTGGGAAAATGTACTCATAAGAAATGACTCTGGAAAAGCTGCAGATAGAGCCATAAGAAATGAATGCAGCTGATTATTTAATGTTGTTTTTATAGGCAATAATTTAAGCTTTGTTAGTTCCAGGTTTAATATGTGCGATGTGTATGGTAGGAAAAATACGTTTTCAACAAAAAAGGTAAGAGTAGCCGAATGTACCTACCTACCAGAGACAGAGTAGGGTATGTAAGCTGGTAGTCTAAACGTTTAGTATTGCTTCAAATGTAATATACCAATGCATTTTAACTTCATGGAAACATTTTTAGCTGAGACGAAAGCGAAAAGCACATCCGCCCGAATAGGGACTTGAACCCTAGACCCTCAGATTAAAAGTCTGATGCTCTACCGACTGAGCTATCCGGGCTCTGCTGACTAGACGTACATAAAAACTATATAACAGGAAAGATTTAATAAACTTTGCTTGACATGTGTTACATCACCGTTACACTAACAACATACAGCTCTTTCTGTGTCGATAAAGATAGAGCTTTGAAATCAGTAACTAGTTAGCCGTATGCTAATTTAGCTATGCTAACTCATCCAGCTCTAAGTTGAACTTTTTTGTATTTAATTGTATTTATTCGTATATATCTATGTTTTTTTAACCCTGGCGCACGTGCATCCCCTCTGTGAGACCCTGGGAGGTTCTGCGTCTGTAGCAGTGGCTTCCTGTTGGGGTCAGGGTTCATTTTAAGATGCTATTCATTACTTTTAAGAGAAAAGGTTTTTACATGTAGCCTCCCCTTTTATGTAACTCTTCAGGCTCCAAGGTGAACGTTTGAGTATCTAGTTTTATACCCCGGCCCACTTGCCTCCCGTCTTTGAGGCACTGCGAGGGGGTTCTGCTCCTCTGGTTCTTGTGTGTGGTTCTGTCTGAGGTCCCAGCTGCAGAGAAGGGTTCTCCGTCTTCAGGTTCCTCAGGAGTTTGACGAGGGGCCGAAACACCGTCCCGTCGCCGGCCCTCCAGCGCAGAACCCCGATGGAGAGAGGGAGACCCTTCAGACGGGACAGAACCACGCCCGCCTGGGAAACACAAGTTATTCAAAACAGACATTTTATAAACATCCATAACATCTGTTTGCAACTTAAAGAATGTCTTCACCGAATGATTTAAAGGGCTGTAAGAAAATGTTTAAGAAAGTGTAATTAGACATTAGCCTTATGCCCCGGCCACACGGGGACGAAAACGGCTAAACGCATAGGATTAACGCAAACGCAAAAAAGCTTCCGTCCACACGCAATATTCACCGGATAGTGTCTGTCCACACGAGACCGCTCCGTTTAGCTCCAACCGCTGGAGAAGCTGCAGTACATGCAGGAGCCTGTACGTGGCGCTGTAACTTCCTCCACAAAAGCAGCGAAGAAGCATGGTTGTCATGGTTGCCCTTCTGTTTATTCTCCGCGGTGGGGGCCGAGGGAACCGGGCAGAGTTTTTCGCCAGTCAACGTGTATTAAAGTTGAAACCTTCCGACAAAATTATAAAAGTGCCGGTCAAAGGTCTTCTTTGTTATTTATTGAGCTTTAAAAACAAATGAATAACGAATCTATATATTATAATAATAAAATACACGGAGCCTCTCTTTTTCCTCCCTCTCTTCGGACAGCGCCAGTGTCTGTTCATGCAGCAGCTGATCCAGTAATGAGTGACCCGGCCGACAGTAAAAATAAACATATTTATAACTAGTTTTAGGTAGTTTGAGAGGTGTCTCCGTCCTGTCAGATTAGACTTCACTCGCGTTTATGTCCATATCGAGAGAAAGATAAATAATCTGAATTCAGTGTGCAGTTTGACGCGGGGGTGAGCAGCAGAGGTGAAAGAGGCGGGGCTATTGCCTCATCATTATCAGAAAATGATCGTATAGGGCGTACACACGGAGCCGTTGGACCCCCCAGAGCGTTGCGTATGCCGTTCTATCCACCTTGGGACCCGTTATCGTTTCCGCAGTCGTTTAGTGCCATATTCGGTCGTCCTCGTGGCCGAACGGTCTATATGACACTAAACAGTAACAGTAACGCAAACGACCGTTTTCGTCCTCGTGTGGCCGGGGCATTAGAAATATAGAGAGGAAGAGGTACAACTGGTTTCTAATGTAAACACAGAGCAACAGGTGTATTTGTTGAGGGTGTGACGAGCGAGTGTTCTGAACCGTTAATCAAAAGACAACATAGAATGAAAACATGAAAACATGAAAACCTACTCTACCTTCAGACTGCAGGTACACATCACACTCCAGCACACTGTCCCTGTTCTTCAAAGGTCCCCTATTATCCTGTGTTTCATCAGTATATTACAGGTCTCAGATATATCCAGAGCCTGTCTCTGATTGGCTGAAACACCAAACAGATCATTGCAGCATTACCCATAATCCCCTCTGTTTCAGCCCTGTTTCCAAAGTGCTGATTCTCTGTCTGTTACTTTAGATGAAAATAAGGAGCCCCTCCCCACGCCCCTCCGAGAGAGATTTGGTTACAAAGAACTCAATGGTGCTCTAGAGGAGATCCAGGTGATAAGGGAGGGGGGGGTTACCTTGGTTGCTGATTGGCTAATGGTTACACAAGACAACACATCGTTATGACATCATAAAGTGGCCAAAATCTGATCAGCTCATTTTCAGACAGGTTTTTATAGAAATGGATCAAAAGAGAGAGAATCTTTCAGAGTCTCTTTCCACAGAGGGGACACATGTTGATGTAGAAGAGACATGAAGAAGAGGGGACACATGTTGATGTAGAAGAGACATGAAGAAGAGGGGACACATGTTGATGTAGAAGAGACATGAAGAAGAGGGGACACATGTTGATGTAGAAGAGACAGTGAAGAAGAGGGGACACATGTTGATGTAGAAGAGACATGAAGAAGAGGGGACACATGTTGATGTAGAAGAGACAGTGAAGAAGAGGGGGACACATGTTGATGTAGAAGAGACATGAAGAAGAGGGGACACATGTTGATGTAGAAGAGACGTGAAGAAGGGGGGACACATGTTGATGTAGAAGAGACATGAAGAAGAGGGGACACATGTTGATGTAGAAGAGACGTGAAGAAGAGGGGACACATGTTGATGTAGAAGAGACATGAAGAAGAGGGGACACATGTTGATGTAGAAGAGACTGAAGAAGAGGGGACACATGTTGATGTAGAAGAGACATGAAGAAGAGGGGACACATGTTGATGTAGAAGAGGACGTGAAAGAAGAGGGGACACATGTTGATGTAGAAGAGACATGAAGAAGAGGGGACACAATGTTGATGTAGAAGAGACGTGAAGAAGAGGGGACACATGTTGATGTAGAAGAGACATAGAGAGGGACACATGTTGATGTAGAAGAGACATGAAGAAGAGGGGACACATGTTGATGTAGAAGAGACATGAAGAAGAGGGGACACATGTTGATGTAGAAGAGACATGAAGAAGAGGGGACACATGTTGATGTAGAAGAGACATGAAGAAGAGGGGACACATGTTGATGTAGAAGAGACATGAAGAAGAGGGGACACATGTTGATGTAGAAGAGACATGAAGAAGAGGGGACACATGTTGATGTAGAAGAGACATGAAGAAGAGGGGACACATGTTGATGTAGAAGAGACATGAAGAAGAGGGGACACATGTTGATGTAGAAGAGACATGAAGAAGAGGGGACACATGTTGATGTAGAAGAGACATGAAGAAGAGGGGACACATGTTGATGAAGAAGAGACATGAAGAAGAGGGGACACATGTTGATGTAGAAGAGACATGAAGAAGAGGGGACACATGTTGATGTAGAAGACATGAAGAAGAGGGGACACATGTTGATGTAGAAGAGACATGAAGAAGAGGGGACACATGTTGATGTAGAAGAACATGAAGAAGAGGGGACACATGTTGATGTAGAAGAGACATGAAGAAGAGGGGACACATGTTGATGTAGAAGAGACATGAAGAAGAGGGGACACATGTTGATGTAGAAGAGACATGAAGAAGAGGGGACACATGTTGATGTAGAAGAGACATGAAGAAGAGGGGACACATGTTGATGTAGAAGAGACATGAAGAAGAGGGGACACATGTTGATGTAGAAGAGACATGAAGAAGAGGGGACACATGTTGATGTAGAAGAGACATGAAGAAGAGGGGACACATGTTGATGTAGAAGAGACATGAAGAAGAGGGGACACATGTTGATGTAGAAGAGACATGAAGAAGAGGGGACACATGTTGATGTAGAAGAGACATGAGAAGAGGGGACACATGTTGATGTAGAAGAGACATGAAGAAGAGGGGACACATGTTGATGTAGAAGAGACATGAAGAAGAGGGGACACATGTTGATGTAGAAGAGACATGAAGAAGAGGGGACACATGTTGATGTAGAAGAGACATGAAGAAGAGGGGACACATGTTGATGTAGAAGAGACATGAAGAAGAGGGGACACTGTTGATGTAGAAGAGACATGAAAAGAGGGGACACATGTTGATGTAGAAAGACATGAAGAGAGGGACACATGTTGATGTAGAAGAGACATGAAGAAGAGGGGACACATGTTGATGTAGAGACATGAAGAAGAGGGACACATGTTGATGTAGAAGAGACATGAAGAAGAGGGGACACATGTTGATGTAGAAGAGACATGAAGAAGAGGGGACACATGTTGATGTAGAAGAGACATGAAGAGAGGGGACAC